GACTGAGGTGAATATATATTTGTTAGGTCAGGGTTTCAAGGAATATTGGGTAAGGCTGTGTAAATGGAGTTGAGGTACAGAACAGCCATGATCTCATAGAATGGTGGAACAGGCTTGAGGGGTTGAAAGGCCTCCTCCTGTTTCTATGTGCACGGTGCGGGGGGTGGGAGGTGATCCATTTCCAAGGCCCCGCTGTGTCCCCCTCCGTGGGGGCCCCTCATCCCGCCCCAGCCTGTGGCATTCATTTTTAACTTAAAATTTAAATTGGAAAAAGTTTGCAATCTGGTTTCAATCTGGAAACCACCTTTTTTGGGGACCTGTAGAAAATTGGCTTCCAAGGTCTCAGTAGTTAGAGCACTCGCATCGCAAGCGAGAGGACCTGGTTTCGATTCCCAGGCAGGACAAAACCGTGGCCAAGTTTCCTTACTCCAAACACTCGTTTCTGTTTACCAGCAGTGAGTAGGAATCCGGTTGTTAGTCAATTAGCGGATCGCTTTCCGGGGTTAATAATCCCTTCAAAAAAATCGGTCACTTCATCCCCGACTGTTTGTGGGTCACCATTGTGTCCCAGAGGATAGAGTTCAAAATCCTAGTCCTCGCCTTCAGAGCCCTCCACGGCCTCCCCCTTCCTACCTCTGTGACCTGCTAACTCCATACAGACCTGTCCGATCCCTCCGCTCAGCGGGCTCCGGCCTGCTCCACTCCCCCACCTGGTCCGCGCCCTCCCCCCCTCCCCCCCCCCCCCCCCCCGGCTCGGCTCTGGGATGCGTTACTGTGAAGCTCTGAGACACCGTCCGGTGTGGAGGGCACTATATACATCCAAGTTGTTGTTGTTGTTGTTGTTATTAAAGATCCCGCAGGGCTATTGGATAAGAGAAGTGAAGCGGTTGAGACGTCTCGACGACATGTTAAGGCGTTGGATCAAATGCGAGGATCATTATTATTATTATTATTATTATTATTATTATTATTATTACAGACGGGGGAGTTCAGCATTGTGCAGAGGTCAGACTCCGGTGATGGTAAGGCCTGGTGTGCTGACCCCGTCACAGGTCGACTTCTCCAGTCAGCGGCTATTGGCCCAGATGGACAACCTCTATGTGAGACATCTTCTTTGACCTTTGTTAATTTCGTCCCTCCCTCCCCCTCCTCCTCCTCTCCTGAACACCTCTAACCGCACTCATCCTTCCCCCCTCATCTTCCCGGGAAGGGGAAACCAGATCCTGTAGTGCAGTGGTTAGAGCGCTCGCCTCACAGCGAGAGGATCTGGGTCTGATTCCCGGGTACAGGGAGAAACCTCAGGCAAGTTTCCCTCCTCCACACAGCTCTATTATCAGCAGTCGGTAGGAACCCGTTGTTAGTTGAAAAGGGAAACTGGATCAGTCTCTGAGCAGCTGAGTTGAGGCCAAGTGCAGTGAGCGTGTGGAGTGTGTGACTAACTGACCGACCGACTGATCGGCCGACTGGCAGCTAACGTGTTATGACAAGGGATCTCCTGGGGGTGACAGGAATGCACAAGTGTGAAGTCCACAATCTCTGAGCTTCAGCGGAAAGAGATGCCTTTCGTCTGAGCTCAGAATTCTGCATGTGTGTACGTGTGTGTGCGTATGTATGTGTGTGGGTGTGGGGTGTCAGGTGGGGCGGTGGGAAAGGAATGTGGGAATCGCCCCCTCCCCCCCTCTGTGCCGGTCTCCAGTCCGGGTCCTGACCAGGAGGGGCCGCAGTGTCCCGGGGCACTCACTGCTGATGGCAGCACAGCCCGGCCCGGCTCATCAGCAGGACCTGGAAGGGCCGACCAGTCACTGGGGGCCGGGAATCCTCCCCCTCAGCTCCTGGTAACCCCACAGCCAAAGCCCTAACTAACGGGGAGGGGGGTCCTCGCTGGACAGGCAGCGGGAAAGCTGCCGGACAGTGATATCAATGGCCGAGCGGTGTGGGTTTCGCGGGTTACACTCCATTCCAGACACAGGGAGATTCCCATGTGAAAGTAACATACACATGTGGATCCCATGAACCCATGTCCTTATTCTGCTGCCTTGATGGTGACTGCTCTGAGTTTATTTTCTCGATCCCCTTTACAGTCATGTCCACTCTACAACAACAACTTGCATTCATACCGCGCTCCTCACACAGGGGAGAGTCCCAGAGCCCTTTCCCTCTGTCAATGAGTTTCTCAAACCAATTTGTGCTGTAATGGAATTCTGTTCTCTTTCTTCTATTTCCCTCTGCACTCACCCCCACCCCGCACTGTACCCCTCCCCTGCTACCCCTTCCTCCTGCCCCCTCACTCCACCTCCCCCTCACCCCACCTCCCCCTCACCCCCACTCACTCCCCCTCCCCCTCACTCCCCTTCCCCCCTCACTCCCCCTCCCCCTCACTCCCCCTCCCTCCTCACCCTGCTCACCCCCGCACTCCTCCTCCCTCCGTCTCCCCACTTGCTCTCCCCCTCCGCTCCCCCAGGCCCAGGCCAGTGTGAGCTGGTGAGGGTGGGGCTGTTGGCGGGGCTGGTGAGGCGGGGGTCTGTGCCGGTGTGTGAGGTGGATGGGGAGTTCTCCCCGGTGCAGTGTGACGGGGATGGTGCGCGGTGCTGGTGTGTGACGCCCAGCGGTGAGGAGCTTCCAGGCACCGAAACCAACACAACAGCTGGATCCCAGCCCAGCTGCAAACGTGAGTCACGCACCCGCTCAGCCAAACATCTGGCTACACGTCAACACGTGACACACGGCCTGACACATGACAGTCAACACGGATACATGGGTTGACATGTGACATGTGGTCTGACAGTCAACACATGATACACATACTGACATGTAACTGGGCTGTCCTCTGGGGATGGAATCTACGTGTGTGTGTGGGTGGGGGGAGAGTCTCCATGTCCATGTCTCTCTGTATCTCTCTGTGTCATAGAACTATACAGCACAGAGGGAGGCCATTCAGCCCATCGTGTCTGTGCTGCTCTTTGAAAAGAGTTTCCAAATCAACCCCACTCCCCCACTCTCTCCCCATAGCCCTGATCAACCCCACTCCCCTCTCTCCCATAGCCCTGATCAACCCCACTCCCCCCTCTCTCCCCATAGCCCTGATCAACCCCACTCCCCCGCTCTCTCCCCATAGCCCTGATCAACCCCACTCCCCCGCTCTCTCCCCATAGCCCTGATCAACCCCACTCCCCCGCTCTCTCCCCATAGCCCTGATCAACCCCACTCCCCCCGCTCTCTCCCCATAGCCCTGATCAACCCCACTCCCCCGCTCTCTCCCCATAGCCCTGATCAACCCCACTCCCCCGCACTCTCCCCATAGCCCTGATCAACCCCATTCCCCCGCACTCTCCACCGGCCTTTCAGGCAATGCGTTCCAGATCCCAACAACTCGCTGTGTGAACACATTTCTCCTCCCCTCCCCTCTGTTTCTTTTAACAGCTATTTTAAATGGGTGTCCTCGGGTTACCGACCCACCGCCAGTGGGAATAGTTTCTCCTCGTTCCCCCTATCGAATCCCCTCATAATTTTGAAAACTTCTATTAAGTCTCCTCTTAACCTTCTCTGCTCCGAGGAGAATAATCCGAGCTTCTCTACCTCTCCTGATAACTGAAGTCCCTCATTCCTGGTGCCATTCTGGTCAATCTCCTTTGCATCCTCTCCAATGCCTTGACATCCTTCCTAAGGTGTGGGGCCCAGAACTGAACCAGTCTCTCGCCGAGGCCTCACCAGTGTTTTATATAAAGGTTCATCATAACTTCCTGACTTGTGTATTCTATGCCCTATTTATAAAGCCGAGTATCCCGGATGCTCTTTAACAGCTGTATCTGCCTGTCCGGCCACCTTCAGAGATTTACTATATGACCCCCAGGTCTCTCTGTCCCTTCACCCCCATTAAGACTGTACCATCAGCTTATATTGCCTCTCCTCATTCTTCCTCTCAAAATGCATCACTTCACATTTCTCCACATTAAACTCCATCTGCCACGTGTCTGCCCGTGTTACCAGTCTGTCTCTATCCTCTTGCAGTCGGTTACTATCCCCCTCACTGTTTACTACTGTTTCCAGCTTAGTGTCACCTGCAAACTTGGGAATTGTACTCCATATACCCAAGTCCAGGTCCAGGTCATTTATATAGATCACAAACAGCAGTGGCCCCAATACTGACCCCCGGGGGGACACCACTGCACACTTCCCTCCAGTCAGAAAAACAACCGTTCACCACCACTCTCTGCTTTCTGTCTCTCAGACAGTTCTGTATCCGCTGCCACTGTCCCTTTAATATCGGGGGCTTCGATTTTGCTACAAGTCTCTTATATGGCACTTTATCAATACCTTTTGAAAATCCATCTAAACTTTGTCAGCTGCACTACCTTCATCGCCCCTCTCCGTTACTTCATCAAAACTATCAGGTTTGTTAGTTACGATTTGCCTTTAACAAATCTGTGTTGACTGTCCTTTATTAACCCATATTTTTCTAAGTGAAGTTTTATTTTGCCCCGGATTATAGTCTCTAGAAGTTTCCCCCCACTGACGTTAGGCTGACTGGCCGGTAGTTCCCGGGTTTACCCTTCTACCCCTTTTTGTACAGGGAGTAACATTTACAACCCTCCAGTCCTCTGGCACCACCCCGGTGTGCAAGGATTGAAAGATTGTGGCCAGAGCCTCCGTTATTTCCACCCTTACTTCCCTCAGTAACCTGGGATACATCCTGTCCCGACCGAGTGTCTTATCTACCTTGAGCACCGACAACCTTTTTAGTACCTCCTCTCAGTTTATTCTTATCCAATTTCTCTACCGTCTCCTCTGATACTGTGGCATTGGCTGCATTTTTTTTGTGAAGACAGATGCAAAGTCCTCATTCAGTACATCAGCCTCTGCCTCCACAGGAGGATTTCCTTTTTGGTCCCCAGTTGGATCCACTCTACATTTGACTAACCTTTTATTCTTTATATTCTTATAAAATACCTTAGGGTTCCCTTTTATGTTACCCACTAATCTTTTCTCATACAATCCCATCGCCCCTCTTAATTCCTTTGTCAGTTCTCCTCTGTACTTTCTATATTCCATTTGATTATCTTCTGTACTTTGGACCTGACATTTATCATGAGACTCCCTTTTCTTTTTTCTTTTAATCCCAATTTCCTTATTCACCCAGGGAGGTTTGGATGCCCTCCTTTCCCCTTTGTGGGAACGTATGTGTCTCTATATCTCTGTGACTGTGAGCTCACAGTCCAGACTGACGCTCAGCACAGCGCTGGGGGGAGAGAGAGAGCACTGCATTGTCAGAGGCTTCGTCCTCCAGATAAAATCTTTGCGTCCTATATCTATGTGTCTCCGCGTCTCTGTGCCGCTCTGTGTCTCTGTATCTCTTGTGTATATGTGTCTCTGTGTCTCTGTCTCTCTCTGTGTCTCTGTCTCTCTCTCTGTGTCTCTGTGCCTCTCTGTGTCTCTGTCTCTCTCTGTGTCTCTGTGTCTCTGTATCTCTGTGTATATGTGTCTCTGTGCCTCTCTGTGTCTGTCTCTCTCTCTGTGTCTGTGCCTCTCTGTGTCTCTGTCTCTCTCTGTGTCTCTGTCTCTCTCTGTGTCTCTCTCTCTCTGTGTCTCTGTCTCTCTCTGTGTCTCTGTCTCTCTGTGTCTCTGTCTCTCTGTGTCGCTGTGTCTCTGTGTCCCTGTATCTCGCTGCCCTGTGTGATGTGAACATTGCTCCTCTCTGTCCCAGCTCCGCTGTGTGCTGTGCCCCCCGGCCCCCCTGATGGGGTGGTTGTCTGTGACGAGGGTCCCGAGGGCCGGACCCTCCAGCGCTGCCGGCTGATTTGCCGCCTGGGTCACCGCAGCCCGTTGGCCGGGGAGGACTTTGTGTGCGACACGCGGAGCGGTGTCTGGGCCCCGGCCGCGCCCCAGCGTCACGCCTGTCAGAGTGAGTTTGCCAGGAACGGCCATGATTAATGTCGCTCCCAATGGGTGTGTCTATCCTCCTCGAGGGCGGGGGGTGGGGGGGGAACTGGGGTCTCCTCAGGGCTGAACGGCAACGTGATGTGTTGTACAACGGAATGTGGGAATCGCCCCCTCCCCCCCTCTGTGCCGGTCTCCAGTCCGGGTCCTGACCAGGAGGGGCCGCAGTGTCCCGGGGCACTCACTGCTGATGGCAGCACAGCCCGGCCCGGCTCATCAGCAGGACCTGGAAGGGCCGACCAGTCACTGGGGGTCGGGAATCCTCCCCCTCAGCTCCTGGTGACCCCACAGCCAAAGCCCTAACTAACGGGGAGGGGGGTCCTCGCTGGACAAGCAGCGGGAAAGCTGCCGGACAGTGATATCAATGGCCGAGCGGTGTGGGTTTAGCGGGTTACACTCCAGCAGTTACCCCAACACACACTCTGGGGTCCCCCCAAACCTTGGCTCTCGCCAACCTGCGCCTAATACTCTCCGGAATTAGGTAAACAGGAAGTGTCCTTCCAGAGAGAGAGAGAGAGAGCGCATTCCATTCCAACAATCTCTCTCTGGGATTTCCATGTGTGAGGGGATACATGGAAATCTCAGTTTGTGTTGGAGACTGTTGAGCAGTTGATAGGTTCAGATGAGACATTAACCCGAGGTCCCGTCTGCCTGTTCAGGTGGACAGTAAAGATCCCGCGGGGCTATTGGAAAAGAGAAGGGAGTTTCTCTCTCTCTCCCGGTGTCCTGGACAACAATCCTCCAAATAATATTGCCCACTCGCCCCACGGCTGTTTGTGGGGACACTGCTGTGTGTAAATTGGCAAAGTGATTAGGGACGGCCTCCTGACCTGAAAGGCGCTACAACAAATACAAGATTATTATTGCTCCACATTACAATGTCAATGTGGTCTCCCCCAACACTGCACTGGAGCATCAGCCTGGACTCTTGATGTTCCCGATGTGGGGGGGGGGGTTTAACCCCACAAACATTGTGACTCAGGGGAGCAGAACGAACACGGGGGGCACAGACTGAGTGCTGACAGATATGTACTGGCTTGTGCCTGGCAGGGATCCAGATGTTTCAGACAGTTGATGTCCAGGCGAGCTTCGAGCTGCAGTTGCCTCTGGGCAAAGCTTGCGGAGCTCAGTACTCGGGGTCGTTGAAGAGTTTGGAGAACCTCATCAGCGAGGACCTGAGGCTGCGAGGATTCTGCCACGTTCAGGTCTGTCCTTATTTATGTCGGGATTTGGAATCACATAGTTTAAGCTGGAATCCCGTAGTGTAGTGGTTAGAGCACTGACCTCGCCAGCCAAGGATCTGTGTTCGGTTCCCGGGCAAAGCGAACCCTTCGGCAATTTTCCTTACTCCACAAGCCTCTGTTTAGCCAACAGTAATCAGGAACCCGGTTGGCTGATCGCTTTTCCTGGGGTAACAATCCCTTCAAAATAAAAAAAATAATAATTTGGCCACTCGGTCCACGAGTGTTTGTGGGAAGCTGCTGTACATACCGCCCACAAAATATACAACCAATCCACTGCACAATATATTCTGTGAAACCCTTTGAGACGTCACAAGGACGTGTTAAGACGCTATATCAAATGCAAGGATTATTATCATGAATAACGTCAATCCATGTGTGAGTAACCCTCGCCCGACTTCACTGGCTCCCCATCCCCCAGAGGATCGAGTTTAAGATACTCATCCTCACCTATACAGCCCTCCACAGTCTTCCCCTCCCTACCTCTGTGACCTACTAAAACCATTTCAACCTAACCTGCCCGCTCCCTCACTCCCTCCACGGCTGTTTGAAGGACGATGCCTTCCCTCACGTGGCTGAAACTCTGGTCCACGCCTTTATCACCTCAAGGGTGGACTATGGGAACTCTCTCCTCGTCGGCCTTCCCGCCACCTCCCTCCACACTTCAGGTCATCCAGAACTCTGCAGCTCGTGTACTGTCCCACACCAGACACCGCGACCACATCACTCCCACCCTCACCCTCACCCTCGCTCCCAACCTCGCCCTCACTCCCACCCTCACCCTCGCCCTCGCTCGCCTCCACTGGCTCCCCATCCCCCAGAGGATCGATTTCAAGATCGTCATCCTCATCTACAAGGCCATTCACGGCCTCGCTCCCTCCTACCTCTCCGACCTACTATCCCCCTACCTACCTGCCCGTACCCTCCGTTCCTCTGGCTCCGGTCTGCTTCACATCCCCCGCCCCAACCGCCCGACCATCGGTGGCCTTCAGCCTCTCAGCCCCGAGGCTCTGGAATTCCATCCCCAGTGCCTTCGCCGCTTCCTCCCTTTCCTCCTTCAAGGCCGGTCTCAAGACCTTTCTCTTTGACCTTCAGCCTTCAGCTCCCCTCTCGACTCTCTACCCCCTCCTCGCTCCCTCCCTTCCCTCCCCTCACCCTGACCATTTCCCCCCAATGCTCGGGTCCTGACCCAACTGTCCAGCGCTTTGGGACGTCCTCCCGACGTGAAAGGCGCTCAATAAATGGAATCTTGTTGTTGTGCAAATTGGGCTCTGCATTTGCCCACAAAACACACCGTCACTACTTCACAGTAAAACCTGAGAGACATTCTCCCGATGTGAAAGATTGCTGCACGAGACACAAGGGTTATTATTAATAATAATCATAAAATTGTATTCTGATGTGTGAGCCAATTTGGGGGGTGTGGAAAGGCTCCTTCTGCATCCTTCCCTTTCCCTCTTCTCTCCCCCCAACCACCCCCCCCCAAAAAAAAAATTGGAAAACTGTAGGATTATTGCTGACATGTGGCCCGACAAGTGGCAACGAAAGAAAACTGATAATTCTTGGTTACTGTTAGGTGTCGGGGGTGGGAGGGACGGCCCGACTCACTGTCTGTGATGCCTCCTCCCTCTCTCTGGGGTGTGCGAGCCCAGAGCGTGTAGGAGTCAACATGACCTGGAGAGCCCGGCTCGCGGACATCCCACCTTCCTCCACCCTGGACCTGCGTGACGTAGGTAAGTCATGTCAGATGGTCATGTGACACCGTCATGTGAGATGGCTGCATCACGCAAACATATGACACAGCTTCATGTGAGACGATGAATCACGCTAATATCCAGGTAATTCCTTAGTAATCTCTCCGTGATATCCCGGTATTCTCTCTGTGATATCCCAGTATTCTCTCCGTGATATCCCAGTAATCTCTCCGTGATATCCCAGTATTCTCTCCGTGATATCCCAGTAATCTCTCCGTGATATCCCAGTAATCTCTCCGTGATATCCCAGTATTCTCTCTGTGATATCCCAGTATTCTCTCCGTGATATCCCAGTATTCTCTCTGTGATATCCCAGTATTCTCTCCGTGATATCCCGGTATTCTCTCCGTGATATCCCGGTATTCTCTCCGTGATATCCCGGTATTCTCTCCGTGATATCCCAGTATTCTCTCCGTGATATCCAGGTAATCTCTCCGTGATATCCCAGTAATCTCTCCGTGATATCCCAGTAATCTCTCCGTGATATCCCAGTATTCTCTCCGTGATATCCCAGTAATCTCTCCGTGATATCCCAGTAATCTCTCCGTGATATCCCAGTATTCTCTCTGTGATATCCCAGTAATCTCTCCGTGATATCCCAGTAATCTCTCCGTGATATCCTGGTATTCTCTCTGTGATATCCCAGTATTCTCTCCGTGATATCCCAGTATTCTCTCCGTGATATCCAGGTAATCTCTCCGTGATATCCCAGTAATCTCTCCGTGATATCCCAGTAATCTCTCCGTGATATCCCAGTATTCTCTCCGTGATATCCCAGTAATCTCTCCGTGATATCCCAGTAATCTCTCCGTGATATCCCAGTATTCTCTCTGTGATATCCCAGTAATCTCTCCGTGATATCCCAGTAATCTCTCCGTGATATCCCGGTATTCTCTCTGTGATATCCCAGTAATCTCTCCGTGATATCCCAGTAATCTCTCCGTGATATCCCGGTATTCTCTCCGTGATATCCCAGTAATCTCTCCGTGATATCCCAGTATTCTCTCTGTGATATCCCGGTATTCTCTCTGTGAATCTGGATAATCTTTCAGGAATGTCTCGCTAATCTCGCGGTAATATCTTGGTCATCTCTGCCGTGCTTCTTGCTGAGAAGCTGATGGTGTCTCTCCCTCTGGCCCCAGAGCGCGCAATGGCTGGGGAGCAGCTGTTTGGCCGTTTGTCGGAGCTGGTTGACGGGGGTGACTACCGGCTGGCGATGGACGACGGCAGCTTTGCCGTGGCCTCCAGCTTCCTTCCTCCAGGTGTTCCCACCGAGGCTGGGCTGGGGTGTGTGGCAGGGCACATCAGGGTTCTGAATGAACCCAACGGATCTCGCCGTGACGAAGGCTGCGGTAAGTGAGAGCACCCAAAACTGATACCCATCTCAAACCCCCTCCCTCTCTCCTCCACTCACCCTCTCGATCCAACTTCAAACCCTGTCTGAACATTTACCTCTCTGACCGTGACTATGGTCACCTCCCCCCGACCCCCACCAAACCCCCATTCCCCCGCTCAGCCTCCAGCCTGTTCCTGAGACATTGCCCTGACTCAGTGGTAGCCAACTCGCCCAGACGTGGCCCCAGTTCGTCAACTAGTCCGTCAACTCCCCCCACCAAACACTTGCACGAGTCCAGGTAAATCCGTGTCCGATCGGCCGGGTGTTTCCTGTGTTTGGTTGATTGATTATGTCTTGATCTATGAAGGAAATGTATTTTGTTACCGATCATAAATGTTGGCCACCCTGGTCTGGGTAACTGGGATAGTTGTGTTTGTTTTGTCGCCAGCGATGCTATTTATCATTGATCACATCTCAGAGGCTTGATGATGCTGAGCCGGGGGGAGGGAAGTGACTGTAGGTGTGGTCGAAGACAAAAGTCTTCTGGGGTGATCTGAAAATGGGGAAGGAAGGGGCAAAGTGGAGGGATGGGGGAGAGTGTTTCAGAGATTGGAGCGGCATGGCTGAGAGCGAGGCTGGCGATGGTGCTTGAGGGACGAGGACATTTGAGAAAGGGCTGATGCTGTAATGGGAGGATGGGATGGTGGAGATCAGATAGGAGACACAGTGAAGGCTGACTCTGCTGTACTCTCTCTCTACAGTTCCCTGCCCGCCAGGCAGCTTCTCCCAGCACGGCCCCTGTGCCCACTGCCCCCTCGGCTTCTACCAGGCCCAAGAGGGCAGCACGGACTGTGAGAGGTGTCCCTCAGGGAGGACGACCAGCTCTCCGGGGGCTGTCTTCCCCAGCCAGTGTGAGCATCGTTATTCCATCATTATTCCATAGTTTTTCTAATGTTGGTCCATTGTCTCCATCATCACTCTATCATCTCTCCATCGCTACTTGTGCATCTCTCCCAGTGTCCTGGACAAATATACACATTCCACTTACTGTAATAATCCCTTCCAAAAAATAATAGTAATAATTTGGTCACTCAATCCACGACTGTTTGTGGACGCTGCTGTGCGCAATTGGCTGCTGTGTTTTGCCCACAAAATATACAGTCACTACACTTTATAGTATATCCTGTGAAGAGCTTTGAGACGTCTCGAAGACGTGATAAGGCGCTGTATCAAAACGCAAGGATTATTGTTGTTAAGGTGATGGGTTTCCGCAGGCTGACCAACAAAAAACATTACAGTAAATGTTATGAAACGCTTTGAGATGTTTTTGAGATGTAAAAGGAGTTGTATCAAATGTGAGAATTATTATTTGACTTAATCCCTTTCCCACGCACAGCCACTGGTCTTCGGCCAGCGAGAGCCGCCAACTTTGTGTCATTAATGTTAGTCACCGTGCTGTGGGGGGGGGGGGGGGGAGCTCGGCTCACACTGTTAGTCAATTGATTTACTCTGGACTTTCTCAGCCAGAGAGAGAGAGCGCGAGAGAGAGAGAGAGAGAGAGAGAGAGACTCTGGTCTCTTATGTGGGCCCCAGAGACGGGAAGCCAATTTATAATAATAATAATGATCTTTGCATTTGATACAGCGCCTTATCATGTCGTTAAAACGTCTCAAAGGGCTTCACAGAATATACTGTAAAGTGTAGTGACTGTGTATTTTGTGGGCGAAACTCGGCAGCCAATTGCACACAGCAGTGTCCCCACACACAGCCGTGGGGCGAGTGGGCAATATTATTTTGGGGATTGTTGTCCAGGACACCGGGAGAGAGAGAGAAACTCCCTTCTCTTTTCCAATAGCCCCGCGGGATCTTTACCGTCCGCCTGAACAGGCAGACGGGACCTCGGGTTAACGTGTTATCCCACAAGTCTGCACTCGCCCCAGAGCATCAGCCTGGACTGGGAACTTAAAGCCCTCACCTGGGCTCGAACCTCCAGCTGTGAAGCATTGACTGTTAAGGACATGTTTGCTCGTGCCAGGCTGGCCCTGCGGGTCTGGAGTGTGATGAGATCGGAGAGTATAGAGAAGCGCAGAGAGACAGAGCTTCTCAAACAATACCCTCGCCCCCACACGGTCACTTTCAAAGCTCTCCACAGCCCCTTCCTCCTCCTCCCTACCTCTGTGACATTTTGACTTCTTATCAAACCGTGCGATCCCCCCACTCAGCAAACTCTGACCTGCTCCACAGGCCCCGCCCGGCCCAACCAACACCACCAGCAGCTGTTCGGCCATCAGCCTCTCTGCCCCCACCCTCTGGAACTCCATCCCACAGTCCCTTCGCTTCGCCCGCTCCCTTGCCTCCTTCAGTGCACGTCTCAAGACCCTTCTCTTCCACCACAGCTTCAGTCACCCTCCTGCCCTCCCTGCCCACCACCCCTCCTGATTCCAACCGTCAGCTTGTCCAAATCCTTGCCTGTCCAGTGCCTTGGGACGTCCTCCCGACATGAAGAACACTATGCCTGTGTAATTTGCTGTTGTGATTCCCCCACACGCCCCCTGCAGGTTTGACAGAGTGCCAGACTGACCCTGCGGGGCTGGAGTGCGATGAGATGGGACAGTACAGAGAAGCGCAGAGAGACACGGCTTCCCAAACATCCTTCTGTCTCACGGAAAACGGGGAGCGTCTGGCCTGGACTGAGACTGCCGTCCCCCTCAACGATTCAGACTGCATTGGTACTGCTGCCCTCCTCAATACCCCTTAATGTGTCTAAGTCACATCTCACCCACTTCGTGATGGCTCAAATGTGTACTTGTTGGATGTCCAACGACCAACTAGTGATTGTCCTCATTGAGGGGGAGGCAGAGCCAGAGCCAAACTGGCCCCAAGGTGACATGTTTGGCAACGGAATGTCAGATCAGGCCCCCCCTCTGTGCCGGTCTCCAGTCCGGGTCCTGACCAGGAGGGGCCGCAGTGTCCCGGGGCACTCACTGCTGATGGCAGCACAGCCCGGCCCGGCTCATCAGCAGGACCTGAAAGGGCCGACCAGTCACTGGGGGCCGGGAATCCTCCCCTCAGCCCCTGGTAACCCCACAGCCAAAGCCCTAACTAACGGGGAGGGGGGTCCTCGCTGGACAAGCAGCGGAAAAGCTGCCGGACAGTGATATCAATGGCCGAGCGGTGTGGGTTTAGCGGGTTACACTCCAGCAGTTACCCCAACACACACTCTGGGGCCCCCCCCAAACCTCGGCTCTCACCAACCTGCGCCTAATACTCTCCGGAATTGGGTAAGCGGGAGGTGACCCTCCAGGGGGAGGAATATCAATGGGGATGGGAGCAGAGCAGAGTAATCTTTGTCCGATTTCATCCCTATGTTGAGGGCTGTGGGGAACTGGGATTAAAAGATCTGCTGTTATACAACAAGCTGTTGAAGTGTGACTGCCTTCTGCTCCTGTGTCTGGAACCGTAACATTCTGCTCGGGGTTCGAGTTTGTCTGCGAAGCATTCCGGCTGTTTTGAGTTCCAGGCTCAGTGACGGAAGCGATGCTAACTCGTTAGACAGAACATTCGGTCACTCAAACCACGGCTGTTTGTGGGGACTCAGATGCAAGGAAATGCACGGGACGCTGCTGTGCGCAATTGATTGCCACGTTTCGCCCACAATATACACAGCAATTCCCTCCCTCCCCCCTCCTCTCTCCCCCCAAACTCTCCCCCCTCTGCATCTCTCCCGCTCTCTCCTCCTCTCTCTCCGTCCCTCTCGTCTTCTATCCCCACTTGACCCTCCCACCCCCTCCCTCTGCTCCAGTCTGGGAATCCTCCGCCGGGCTCACCCCGGCACTCGGCGTTGGCTGTCCAGCAGCAGCCACACCGACTGCCCCATTCCCCACCACACTCGCCACCCACCCCGGACACAGACCCGGGGAGCCAACCTCTCCTCCCTCATCCCCATCCCCCCACCCCTGCCTCACAACCTGGACCCCCCTCCCCTCCCACACACCCTTCTGTCAACCGCTCCCTCCACATCGGACTACAAAACGTCCGCTCCCTCTGTAACAAGGCCCTGGTCATCAACGATCTCATCCTTGATGAGAGCGTTGATATCATGGCCTTAACAGAAACCTGGCTCACCCCAGGCGACACCTTCCCCCTCACGGAGGCCACACCACCCGGCTACACCTCCCACCACATCCCCGCCCCAACCGCCGTGGCGGTGGTGTAGCCCTTATCTCAAGGACACCACTTGCCCTATCCCCGTACTCCTCTGGCTCTTTCCCCTCTTTTGAGCACCTCACCCTCTCCCACCCCTCCTCTCACTCAAAATCCTCCTCCTCTATCGGCCCCTAAAACCTCTCCCACCTTCATCTCCGATATTTCTACCCTACTTACATCTCTCTGCCTCTGCTCTGATCGCCTCATCATCCTGGGCGACTTCAACCTGCACTTCACCCCCTCCTGCTCCATCTCCTCAGACTTCTCTTCCCTGCTCTCCTCGCTCAACCTCTCCCTCCACATCAACTCCCCCACTCACAGTCACGGCCACCCACTCGATTTGGTGATCACCCGGGGCCTCAGTGTCTCGGATGTCACTATTACCGACAAGGCCGTCTCCGATCACCACTTCATCTCCTTCACCACCTCCACCCCCTCCCCACCTCCACCAGACCCACCACCATCTTCTACCGCCCCTGGAAGAAGTTACCCCCACAATCCCTAACCGCTGCCTTGGAGTCCTCTGAACTCCTCTCCCTCTGGCCTTCAACCCTCACTGACCCCTCTTCTGCTCTCACCCTCCTCCACAACACCCTCTCCTCCACACTCGATACTCTTGCCCCCATCACCTCCCGTACTGTCTCCTACTCTCGCTCCTCCCCCTGGTTCACCACCCACCTCCGCTCACTGAAGAGCCAGGTGCGGGCCGCTGAACGCACCTGTGTCAAATCTGGCCTAACGGTCCACCGACAAATCTGGCTGGACCTCCTCAAAATCTACCGCTCCACTCTAGCCTCGGCCAAGTCGTCCTTCTACTCCAGGATAATCCTGGAGGCGAAGAACAACCCCAGGCTACTGTTTTCCACCACATCCCGACTCCTCCGTCCCCCCCGCCACCCCGCGCAGGTCATCTCCTCCAACCTTCACTGCGAGGAGATGCTGGATTTCCTTGAATCCCAAATCAAGGGAATCCGCTCCGCGGTCACTCCCCCTCCAACTTCCACCCACATGTATGCGGATGACACCCAACTTTACCTTTCCTCCTCTACCCTCAACTCCACGACCCCCGATGTCCTGACAGCTGTCTGTCCGACATCGAGTCCTGGACGAGAGACAACTTTCTTCAGCTCAATGTGCGTAAAGCTGAGGCCCTCCTGATTGGCTCACGTCAGTGCCTCCGCACCTCAGGCGCTGACAGCATCAGCATCCAAGGCTGCACTCTCCACCTCTCAAAGCCATCAGGAACCTCGGGGTTCTGTTCGACCCTGAGCTGTCCTTTCTCCCTCATATCCGCTCCACAACCGGCACCGCCTTCCATCACCTCCGGAACATCGCCAGACTACGGCACTACCTCACCCCTCACGCGGCTGAAACTCTGGTCCACACCTTTATCACCTCAAGGCCGGACTATGGGAACTCTCTCCTCGTCGGCCTTCCCGGCCCTCCCTCCACACTGCAGGTCATTCAGAACTCTGCAGCTCCTGTACTGTCCCGCACCACATCACCCTCGCCCTCACCCTCGCTCCCACCCTCACCCTCGCCCTCACTCTCGCCCTCGCCCTCACTCCCACCCTCGCCCTCGCCCTCACTCCCACCCTCACCCTCGCCCTCGCCCTCACCCTCGCCCTCGCTCGCCTCCACTGGCTCCCCATCCCCAGAGGATAGATTTCAAGATCCTCATCCTCACCTACAAGGCCATTCACGGCCTCGCTCCCTCCTACCTCTCCAACCTACTATCCCCCACTTACCTGCCCGTACCCTCCGTCCCTCTGGCTCCGGTCTGCTCCACATCCCCCGCCCCAACCGCCCTACCATCGGTGGTCTTCAGCCTCTCAGCCCCGAGGCTCTGGAACTCTATCCCCGAGTGCCTTCGCCGCTTCCTCCCTTTCCTCCTTCAAGGCCGGTCTCAAGACCTTTCTCTTTGACCTTCAGCCTTCAGCTCCCCTCTCGACTCTCTACCCCCTCCTCGCTCCCTCCCTCCCCTCACCCTGACCATTTCCCCCCTCCTCGCTCCCTCCCTTCCCTCCCCTCACCCTGACCATTTCCCCACTGCTCGGGTCCTGACCCAACTGTCCAGCGCCTTGGGACGTCCTCCCGACGTGAAAGGCGCTCAATAAATGGAATCTTCTTGTTGTTGTTGTTGTTTACAGTATATTCTGTGAAGCGCTTTGGGACGTCCTCCCGACATGAAAAGCGCTATATCAAATGCAAGGATTATTATTATTATTATTATTATGTTTGTTATGGTTGCGGGTTCCTGACCTCTTCCCCTTGTCTTCCCGAACACAGCTCTGAGAGAGTTCGAAAGCATCGAGAGATCCCAGCTGCTCCTGAACGCAGAGGCCACACAAGTCCTACACGTCCTCACGTCCCCGGTCGGGCGTCACAGGCACCTCCTGCGCTGTCTCTCAGGTCAGTCACCAAGTCCTTGTGACCGGGGTTAACCAGAAGTCCCATCTGCCTTGTCAGTGCAGTGGCCTAAAGGGACATCGCAATTTAGGCTTAAAGGGATTTTGCAGTTTAGGTGTCAGCCTGTGGTGGCCATTCGGCCCATCGTGTCTGTGCCGACTCTGTGAAAAGAGCTTCCAAATCAACCCCACTCCCCGCTCTCTCCCCATAGCCCTGATCAACCCCACTCCCCCGCTCTCTCCCCATAGCTCTGCAAACTTGTCCCCAAATAATTATCTATTTCTCTCTTAAAAGTTGTTATGGAATCGGTCCCCACCGGCCTTTCAGGCAATGCATTCCAGATCCCAACAACTCGCTGTGTGAACACATTTCTCCTCCCCTCCCCTCTGTTTCTTTTAACAGCTATTTTAAATGGGTGTCCTCGGGTTACCGACCCACCGCCAGTGGGAATAGTTTCTCCTCGTTCCCCCTATCGAATCCCCTCATCATTTTGAAAACTTGTATTAAGTCTCCTCTTAACCTTCTCTGCTCCGAGGAGAATAATCTGAGCTTCTCTACCTCTCCTGATAACTGAGGTCCCTCATTCCTGGTACCATTCTGGTCAATCTCCTTTGCACCCTCTCCAATGCCTTGACATCCTTCCTACAGTGTGGGGCCCAGAACTGAACCCAGTCTCTCGCTGAGGCCTCACCAGTGTTTATAAATATTCATCATAACTTCCTGACTTGTGTATTCTATGCCCTATTTATAAAGCCGAGTATCCCGGATGCTCTTTAACAGCTGTATCTGCCTGTCCGGCCACCTTCAGAGATTTACTATATGACCCCCAGGTCTCTCTGTCCCTTCACCCCCATTAAGACTGTACCATCAACTTATATTGCCTCTCCTCATTCTCCCTCTCTAAGTGCATCACTTCACATTTCTCCACATTAAACTCCATCTGCCACGTGTCTGCCCGTGTTACCAGTCTGTCTCTATCCTCTTGCAGTCGGTTACTATCCCCCTCACTGTTTACTACTGTTTCCAGCTTAGTGTCACCTGCAAACTTGGGAATTGTGCTCCATATACCCAAGTCCAGGTCATTTATATGGATCACTGCTGTGTGCAATTGGCTGCTGCGTTTTGCCCACACAATATACAGTTACTACACTTTGCAGTATATCCTGTGAGACATCTCAACGATGTGATACGGCACTGTATCAAATCCAAGGATTATAATTATTAAAGGTGAGGACGAGGATGTTGAACTGGGGGATGGTGAGCCAGTGAAGCTGGTGAGGGTGAGGGTGAGGGTGAGGGTGGGATGAGCGGCTCATGATGTTCAGTGCGAGGCTGGTGTCTGATTCTCTGTGTGAACCTTTGCCCACAGAGTGCTCGAGAGACGAGATGTGTGACTTCTTCTCAGTGATGACCAGAGGAGAGACTGAGCGCTGTGCACTGTACAGTAGTTCCCTCGCCAACCTTCACTGTACAGCCACCAGCCAGGTACGGGCGAGGGGGGGCAGTGAGAGGGGGGGCAGTGAGAGGGGGGGCAGTGAGAGGGGGGGCAGTGAGAGGGGGGGCAGTGAGAGGGGGGGCAGTGAGAGGGGGGGCAGTGAGAGGGGGGGCAGTGAGAGGGGGGGCAGTGAGAGGGGGGCAGTGAGAGGGGGGGGCAGTGAGAGGGGGGGCAGTGAGAGGGGGGGGGCAGTGAGAGGGGGGGCAGTGAGAGGGGGGGCAGTGAGAGGGGGGCAGTGAGAGGGGGGGCAGTGAGAGGGGGGGCAGTGAGAGGGGGCAGTGAGAGGGGGGGCAGTGAGAGGGGGGGGGCAGTGAGAGGGGGGGCAGTGAGAGGGGGGGCAGTGAGAGAGACCCAGCGGTTGATGGGACAGGTTACAGCTTTGCTGTAATCTGCAGTAAAACTCACAGAAGTCGTATCAGTCGGCACCAGAACATTTAATGTGACTTACGTGCTGTTGGAGTTGCTGCAAAAAATAAAATAATATTCTGATTTAATCAATAATCTACACTGCGTGTGTTTGTGTAAATGAATGCGTCCGGTCAGTGTGTGTGCGGTGACGGGGCCAGACTAGGTCTCATCGGGTCTCGGCCTGTCGCTGTACGTGCACTTACAGATAAAAGCTGGAATCACATTGACTCGCGGGAAATGAAGTTCTTCTGCACGTGTGTCGACAAGGTGAAGACTACATTTCCCGCGATTCAAAGCAGCCGGTGAGTGGGGAGTAATGGAGGGTATGGGAGGGCGGTACCGGAGAGCAGGTGATTAATACAAGTCGTGCAAAGAAATCTAAATGGCTTTGATAGGAACCTGAATGGGACTCAGGTGAATGTTCGACTTAGGCGATTATACGATTGATAAAGATAAGACTTGTGTGAGTTTTACTGTATATAAAACCCTCCAGATCCCCATTATTTGTTTACGCAGAGAATTGTTACGGTCTGGAATGCACTGCCTGAAAGGGGTGGGAACAGATTCAGTAACAACTTTCAAAAGGGAATTGGACGGGTAGTTGAAAAGGAAGGATTTGCAGGGGTTTGGGGTAAGAGTGGGGGATTGGGACTGATTGGATAGCTCTTCCAAAGAGCCAGCACAGGCATGATGTGCCAAATGGCCTCCTTCTGTGCTGTAATATTCTATGACTCTATGTTACGGTGTATGTGCAGTGTAAACTGTGTGGCTTCTCTCCCAGGCTCAGCTGTTCCTTGGGGTGGCGTCTGTGGAGAATTACAAGAGTCTGAGCTGTGAGCTGAAGGTCAGCGAGTCTGGTGAGGGCAGCCTGGCCGTCTACAGGAAGAAAAGTAGGTTGAGGAAAAGCAGGAGCTCACCACAAAATCTCAGTCACTGCGGAGGCACAACAGATCATTTGGCTGCCCTCAACTGTCCTTTCTACTCCGTATCCGCACCATGACCCACTCTGCCTTCTCCCACCTCCGCAATGTTGCCAGACTCCGCCACTGCCTCACCCCTCAGGCTGCCGAAACCCTCACCCACGCATTCATCACCTCAAGATCCTCGTCCTCACCTTTAAGGCCATCCATGGCCTCGCCCCCTCCTACCTCTCTGACCTGCTGACTCCCTGCCAACCTGCCCACTCCCTCCGTTCAGTGGGCTCCGGCTGCTCCATGTCTCCCGCCCGACCCGCCCTACCATCGGTGGCCGAGCTTTCAGCCTCTCTGCTCCCGCACTCTGGAACTCCATCCCACGGTCCCTTCCCCTCGTTCCCTCTCTTGCCTTTTCAAGGCACAACTCAAGACCCTCCTTTTTGACCATGCCTTCAGCCGCCCTCCTACCCCCCTCCCTCATCCCAACTCTGTGCCCCCCTACCCCTGATCGTTCAGCACCTTGGTACGTCCTCCCGACGTGAAAGGCACTTTACAAATGTAATTTGTTGTTGTTGTTTTTCTTCGAATAACAATAATAATCCTTGAATTTGATATAGGATTTTATCATGTCATAGAATCGTAGAATTGTACAGCACAAAAAGAGGCCATTCGGCCCATCGAGTCTGTGCGGCTCTTTGAATAGAGCAATGTAATGCCAATCCCACTCCCGGCTCTTTCCCCATAACCTGCAAACCTGTCCTCCTCAAATACCCGTCCACTGCGTTTTTAAAAGTAGTTATTGAATCGGCCTCGACCGCCCTTTCAGGCAATGTTCCAGATTCCAACAACTCACTGCGTGAAAACATGTCTTCTCCCCTCCCGTCGGCTTCTTTTAGAGACTATTTGGAATCTGTGAGCTCGAGTCACCGACACTCCCACCAGTGGGAACAGTTTGAGACGTCTCAAAGCGCTTGACTGTATATTTTGTGGGTGAAACACAGCAGCCAATTGCGCCCAAAAGCTCCACCTCAGGACTCTGAGCACCTGATATTCCAGTTTAGTGCTGGGGGGAGCACTGCATGGTTACAAGTGCCATCCTTCTGATGAGATGTTAAATGAAGGCCCTGTGCCTTTTTAGGCGTTAAGATCCTATAGTGTGATTGGGAAAGAGAAAGTGTGCAAATTGGCTGCTGCGTTCACCTACAAAACACACAGTCACTGCACTTTAAATCCTTTACGGTGACGGGTGTCCGTGGGTGTCAGACACCCGGCCGGTCACGGTGACAGGTTTCCGTGTGTGTCAGACCCCGGCAGGTCACGGTGATGGGTTTCCATGTGTGTCAGACACCGGCTGGTCACGGTGACAGGTTTCCGTGTGTGTCAGACACCGGCTGGTCACGGTGACGGGTTTCCGTGTGTGTCAGACACCGGCCGGTGACGGGTTTCCGTGTGTGACAGACACTCAATTGATCAAAACTCACTGATGTTTTGCCTGCTGTTCTCCAGGTTACCTGTTCACCACGAGGTTCAACAAGACCTTTGTGAGGACGGGTTTCCAGGCGGTGCTGACCGGGGTTTACCGGGCCATGGCATTCGCTGCCGAAGCTTCCAGCCTGACGGACGTCCACCATTTCTGCCGTGAACGCTGTGGGCGGGAGCCGTGCTGTGATGGGTTTACTCTGAGCATCATCGCACTGCACCGAGGTAAAATCACGTCTCCCAGCCTGTCCCTCCCTCCCTCCTTCTCGCACACGTTCGCTCCATCTCTCCCTTATTCCCTCTTTCATTCCTTTCCTCACACCATCCTTTGCTCCCTCCCTCCCTCCCTCACTCCCTCACACTCTCCCTCACTCCCTCGCTACTTCTCGCACACGCTCGCTCCATCTCTCCCTTATTCCCTCTTTCATTCCTTTCCTCACACCATCCTTTGCTCCCTCCCTCCCTCACTTGCTCGCTCCCTCCCTCCAACCCCTTGGGACGTCCTCCCGACGTGAAAAGCGCTCTATAAATGTAATGTTGTTGTTGTTGTTGTTGTCCCTCCCGCTCTGCCTCACTCACTTCCTCACACTCTTCCTTGCACCCTCCCTCCGTCGTTCCCTCCCTCTGGAATCCCGCTCCCTCCCTCGTGCCAGGAATGACAAGACGTTTCCCTCGTTCCCAAGAAACACTGGGAGCTGTTTGGCTTTGCTCAGGTCACTGCCCTCTCGTTCCCGCACAGAGCCACTCGATCCTGTCAGTAACTGGGAACCGCGGAGCAATCCCAAAGCAAACTCCTGGCCCAGAGTTCCTCCGACTTGAAACAACGTTCCTTAAAGGGGACGTCGTGTTTGGGGTTGGTGGGGGGGAAGGGGAAGAATCTGTTTGGATGGCGGGGGGGCAGGCGGGCGGGCGAGTCTTGGCCTGTCCGCTCCCTCCTCTCAGTGGACTCCGGCCTATTCCACGTCCCTCACTCCACCATCGGCGGGCTGGCCTTCAGCCTCTCTGCCCCCATCCTCTGGAACTCCATCCCACAGTCCCTTTGCCTCGCTCCCTCCCTTGCCTCCTGCAAAGCACCTCTCAAGACCCACTTCGGTCACCCTCCTACCCCTTTACCCACCGCGCCCTCCACCCTTCCCAATGCCAACCCCCAGCTCGGGTACAAATCCCTGAGACTCCAGTGCCTTGGGACGTCCTCCCGATGTGAAAGCTCCCGACGTCAGCCAATTTGCACACAGCAACGTCCCACAAACAGCCATGGAGTGAGTGACTGAGGTTATCTTTTGGATTATTAGCCATTACAGTTGAATAGATCTTTCACAGCCACCGGAGCAGGCCGACGGGACCCGATTAGGGAGTGAGGGAGGGGGAAAGGGAGGGACCTATTATTTTTGAATATTTGTCCAATTCCTTGTTTAATAAAAAAAATCTGCCTTAAATTGTAAGACCATGTGGAAGTTTGGAAAACAGCCGCAAACCAAATCCAGGATTTACAGAAAACTGTTTTTCAGATGAAAACGGAATTTTAGGACACAATTCCGCACAAGAATTTTGTGTCCCTTGACTCATCCTAACCTCCCTCTTTTTTGGCCAGCCGGGCGTCTGACACATCCGGAAACCCATCATCGTGATTAAGAGACCCCCAAACAAACAGAATTCCATGTATCCCCCCACACATGGAAATCCCAGAGATAGATCGTTGGAATGGAATGCGCTCTCTCTCTCTCTCTCTCTCCCCCTGGAGAGACATTCTGCTTATCTAATTCTGGAGAGTATTAGGCACAGGTTTGGGAGCCAAGGCTTGGGGGCCCCAGAGTGTGCATTGGGGTAACTGCTGGAGTCTAACCAGCTAAACTCGCATACTTTGCCATTGATATCACTGTCCGGCAGCTTTCCCGCTGCTTGTCCAGCGAGGACCCCCCTCCCCGTTAGTTAGGGCTTTGGCTGTGGGGTTACCAGCAGCTGAGGGGGAGGATTCCCGGCCCCCAGTGACTGGTCGGCCCTTCCAGGTCCTGCTGATGAGCCGGGCCGGGCTGTGCTGACCTTGGCTCAGTTTCGCTGCTAAACTCTGTTAAACTGTGACGATGTCCTGGACTTTGATCCTTGGCTTTTCTCCAGGGACAAGAGCTAGACCTTGAGAAACACGTCGCTGCTGGCCAAAAGTCTCCAAATTGGGCTTTTACTCATTAATTCCGCAGTTACTGTAAACAAAAGCAGCCGCCACGACTGGAAAAACCCAGATAATTACACAAAAAGCCACCGAGCAGAGGTCTGAGCTGTGCCCCTGACTCCTCGTTTCACTTGGCAATGTCTCTAATTGATGTGTTCGGTATTGAGACAGAAGATTAATTGTTTTTTTTTGACATTGCATTCTGAATGTATTTAACAGATAACTGAGGTCTAAAATAATAAATAATCCTGCCGTTTGACCCTATAATGTCAAAACATCTCAAAATGCCAAGCTGGGGATTAACTGCACATTTCTAATAATAATAATAATTCTTGTATTTAATATAGTGCCTTATCATGTCTTCGAGATGTCTCAGAGCACTTCACAGGATACACAGTAAACCTAATTAACCACAAAAGACTGATTTATCTGAGGATTGTTGGCCTGGGACACACACAGAGAAACTCCCTTTACTTTTCCCACAGAGTCACAGGATCTTTAACGTCCACCTGTACAGACACAGATGGGATCTCAGTTTAATGTCTCATTCGAAGGACAGTGGCTGTGACGATGTGGCCCCCCTCCCCCCACCCTCGCCACTGTCGAGCGCTCTGGGACACTCCCCTGCATGAGAGGCGCTGTGTAAATGCAAGTTGTTGTTGTTGCATTGGAGCATCAGCCAAGACTGTGAGCTCAGAGACCCCGACATGGGGTTTGAACCCAGAACCTTTTGACCTGGAGGTGAGAGCGCACGTGGCTGGGCCGGGCTGACAGCTGAAAACGTGTGTCAGCCCGGTTCAGTCGATAGCTCTCTCGCCCCACTTTGGGATTTGGAATCACATAGTCCTCTCCAGGCCCCACTGACTCCCTATCACAGAACGGATCGATTTCAAGCTCCTCTCACTCGTCTACAAGTCCCTTCATACCTTGACCTCTCCAACCTGCTCACTCCCCAACCCACTACTCGCTGCCTCCGCTCCACTAGCTCCGGCCTCCTGCTTGTCCCTCGTCCCCTCCTCTCCACCATCGGCAACCGCGCTTTCAGCCACTACGCCCCGAAGCTTTAGAACTCTCTCTCTCAATCCCTCCGCCTTGTGCCCTCCTTCCCCTCTTTTAAATCACCTTCCACTTCCAGTCACCTATTCCGCCGCCCCCCCCCGGCTCAGTGTGGCGCTCTAGGACGCTACTCTGCACGAGAGGCGCTATATGTAAATGCAAGTTGTTGTTCTTGATGTCCGTAATCATCTTGTGGTGATGCGCAGACACTGGCGAAACCTTGGGCAAGTTTATGGTCCCATCACTGTGGGGCTGTGTGCGCAATTGGCTGCCGCGTTCGCCCACAAATGTAGTCAATAGTCACTACACTTTACAGTGTGTTCTGTGAAGCGCTTTGGGACGTCCTAGTGGCTTATTTATTATCCCTGTGGCGGGGGGGGAGGTGGCTTATTATCTGTGTTTGGTTTTCAGGCACTATCCTCTGTGGGCTGATCAGCCATCCAGATGTCCTGCTGTGCAACAAAGGTGACTGGCAGATGCCGACTCTGGGGGGACAGGGGACATGCCGAGGGGTCAGGTCCAACAAGGAAACAAAGACCTTCACGTTCAACATTGGAGGCCTGGAATTCAGTGGCTGTAAGTCAGTCAGCAAACACAGGACGTTGCTGGCCACTCGCCTTCTGGTCAGGCCTCACAAACGTACAGTGGACAAAGGAACTGAATAATGTTCCACCTGCTCAGTCGAGGCATCTCCTACTTTGAGTTAAGGCTGAGCAAGTTACCACATTCCCTGTGTAAGCTAAGCATTGATTATCGAGTCCTGTAGCTCAGTGGTCAGAGCCCTCGCCCCGCAAGCCAGAGGACTCGGGTTTGATTCCCGGGCAGAGCGAAACCTTAGGCAAGTCTCCCTACTCCACACACGTGCCTCTGTTTACCAGTGGTGAGTAGGAACCCAGTTGTTAGTCAATTAGCAGATTGCTGTCCGGGGGTAATAACCCCTCAAAAAAATATTTTAAAATTAAAAATATAATAATGTGGTCACTCAATCCACGGCTGTTTGTGGAACGCTACTGTGTGTAATTGGCTGCCGTGTTGGGCCCACAAAACGATTCTAAGCATCTTGAGATGTTTCAACGACGTGATAAGGTGTTGTGTCAAATGCAAGTGTTATTATTATAATATGCTTACAGTGCAGAGGGAGCATCTCTGTCTCTAACCCACTCTGTCCCTGATGTTGCTGCTTGTCTTGGCTCAGTTGGACTCCAAGCTCACAGTCAGGCAGATCCTCCAGTGCAGTGCTGGGGGAAGGCTGTGTTCCTGGAGTTGCCGTCCTTCAGATGAGACGTTAAAGGCACCTGTTTGGGTGGACAATAAAGATCTGGTGGTGTTATTGGAAAAGGGAAGGGAGTTGGGAGGGGTGCGGAGGAAGGTGAGAGCGGAAGCTAAGATCTCTCTCTCTCTCTCTCTCTCTCTCTGGTCTGTTTCTCTCTCTCTCGTGTGTTCGCAGCGTACACTCTGTTCTCACAGAGTCTGGAGGATGACGTGTATTCACCGGATCTGACCCCGGACCTGAAGGAGCAAATTCAGAGAAGCTTCACTCGATTCCAAGAGGTTTACCTCTGGCAGGGTGAGCCCGGCCAGGCTGCTGGACAGATGTGCTAGGGTGGGAGAGGGGGGTGGGGGGGGAGAGTCAGACAGCAAAGGGCATCCAGCAGCTGGTACCCAGTGGTGGGGGCTTGTGGGCTGTGGGGGGTGGGAGGGGGGTGGCGGGGGAGGGGGTTGGGTGTGTTGGCAGCCAGGGAGAAGGCGAGGGAGTCACCTGTTGAGAGGGAGGGTGTCGTGTCTCACTCAGGAGGAGACGGGATGTTGCTTCCTACCCCCCCCCCACCCACCCACCCGGCCTCCTGACAGACACAGTTCCGTCTTGGGGGGCTGGAGGAGACTCCCCTCTGCCCCCCCACATCCAAATAGAGAGTTCCAGACCCTCCCCACTGCGAGGGCCAATGTACGAGGGGGAGGGCGGAGGGTCCCTCAGCCGGTGGGGGGGGGGTGGGGGGGGCTTTGGGACAAACTAAACACAAAATACTGCAGATGCTGGAGATCTGAAACAAGAAGGAAAGTCGCTGGGAACACTCAGCGGGTCAGGCGACAGAGTCGTGGACCCGAAACATTGACCCACTTTCCTCTCTCCATAGATGCTGCCTGACCCGCTGAGTGTTCCCAGCGACTTCTGCTTTCCTTTGGGACAAACTGTTGGGTTGTTGGGGGGTGGGGGGGGTGGTGGGGGGGGGTGGGGTTGGGTGTTATCACATCATGTGGCCCATCAACGACCACCCCCCCCCCCACCCCCACGAGGCCTGATGATGAGTCACAGTGCTCTCTCTCTCTTTCGCTCTTTCTCTTGCTCTCGCTGACTCTCTTTCACTCGCTCGCTTGTTCTCTCTCTCTCGCTCTCTCTCATTTGCTCTCTCTCTCTCTCGGTGTCTCTCTCATTCTCTTTCCCTCTCTCAATCTCTCTCACTCGCTCTCTCTCTCACTCTCTCTCACTCGTGCGCTCTCCTCTTGCTCTCTCTCACTCGCGCTCTCTCTCTCTCGCTCTCTTTCACTTGCTCTTTCTCTCTCACTCTCACTCGCTCTCTCTCTCACTCATTCGCTCTCTCTCGCTCTCTCTCACTCTCTCTTTCTCGCTGTTTCTCACTCTCTCTCTTTCATGCTATCCATCTCTCTCACTCGCGCTCTCTCTCTCACTCTCTCTCTCTCGCTCTCTCTCACTCGCTCTCTCTCTCTCTCACCAACGATGACTTGCAGATTCCGACATGAACGTCCGTCCCCGGGATCCCTCCAATTGCTCCAAGAGTGTCCGCCAGGAGCGTCAAACACTGGGAAGGACAGGTAAGGATTATTTGCCCCTCTGTCTCTCTCTCCCCCCTGCCCCACCGCTCCTCATTTTCCTACACTATTACCCTCTCCCAATCTCACTCAATGTGTCTACCTCCAACTCGGAGTCCCTGTAGCTCAGGGGTTAGAGCCCTCGCCTCACAAGTGAGAGGACCCGGGTTTGATTCCTGGACAGGGCAAAGCCTTAGGCAACTTTCCTTACTCCACACATCTCTTTCAAGGCCCATCTGAAGACTCCTCTTCGGTCAGCCTCCTACTCCCATCTTCCCAGTCCTCCACCCTCTCGATGTCCCAACTCCCAGCTCGGGTCCAAGTCTCTGACTGTCCAGCGTCTTGGGCTGTCCTCTCCCCGTGAAAGGTGCCGTGTAATGCGTTGTTGTTGTAGTGACTGCACGTTGTGTAGAGGCTGTGGCTGTGTGTATTGTCATTAGATGGTGTGAGGCAGCGTTTCTCAGCCCTGGAGCCTGGGCGGGTGTCGGTGGAGCCGGGCCTGTCATTGGCCAGTCAGACCTACTCGCTCTTCAGACATCGCTTCCCCAGACCGGAGGCTGAGCTGTGGTGCCTCTCCCGTGAGTATCCCTCACCTCCGCACCACTTCATTCCCTCTGTATCCCTCCACAGCAACTTGGCAGACAGTGATATCAATGGCTCAGTGTGGGTTTAGCTGGTTAGACCCCAGAGTTACCCCAACACACACTCTGGGCCCCCCCAAGCCTTGGCTCTTCTCAACCTGCGCCTGATACTCTCAATTAAGTAATCAGGATGCTCGGGGGAGGGATGGGTGGAGAGTTGGCTTCTGCGTGCCAAGAATTGCCGAGAGTCTCTGCAACCTGCCAACCCCGTATCATCGTGTCCTCTGGCTCCGCTCAGCAGGCTTCGGTCTGCTCCACGTCCCCCGCCCGGCCTCCCCCCCACCGTCAGCGGTAGGGCCTTCAGCCTCACCCTTTGGAACTCCATCCCACAGTCCCTTCGCCTTGCTCCCCCCTCCCTCGCCTCCTTCAGGGCCGATCTCAAGACCCTTCTCTTTCGACCGCTCCTTCGGTCACCCTCCTACCCCCACCCTCCCCGCCCTCCACCCCTCCTTATCCCAACCCCCAGCTCGGGTCCAAATCCCTGACTGTCCAGCGCCTTGAGACGTCTTCCTGACATGAAAGGGGCTAATGTAACTATCACGTGTTGTTGTTGATTGTTGGCGTTGTGCTAAATATCGCAGCACACGGCAGGTTCTGACCTCTGTGTCTGGTGTCTCCCCAGACTGTGCGGCTGAGAGCTTCTGCCGGTTGGCATCTGTGCGGGCGGGTGGGGCCCTGGGGTACAGCTGTGATCTGTACCCTGACACCCAGCTCTGCCCCTCCGCCAACAACCACATCCCACCAGCAACTAACTGCAGCCTGAGATTACCACAGTCACCACAAGCCCTGTACAGGAAGAGAGGTGAGTGGTGTACACAGCCATACACACACACACACAACAACTTGCACTTATATAGCGCCATCCACGCAGGGAGGCGTCTCAGAGCACTTAACAGTGGCGAAGCCTGATACATGCACACGCACACGCACACACACACATACACAGTGTGGTACACACACACTCTCACACACACGTACACACACACAGTGGATTATATACACTGTGTTACACGGCTATGGCTGTGTGTGTGTGTGTGTGTTATATACACTGTGTTACACGGCTATGGCTGTGTGTGTGTGTTATATACACTGTGTTACACGGCTATGGCTGTGTGTGTGTGTGTGTTATATGCACTGTGTTACACGGCTATGGCTGTGTGTGTGTTATATGCACTGTGTTACACGGCTATGGCTGTGTGTGTGTGTGTTATATCCACTGTGTTACACGGCTATGGCTGTGTGTGTGTTATATACACTGTGACTCAGGGACAGTAGTAATCTTCAGTAGTTTTGGGAGTTTGTTGTCCGGGCAACATAACAACACGCGGTGTGAGGCTGTGAGGACCCTGTGTTGGTGTCTGTGGGGGAAGGGGGTGGGGGGTAAACACAGCCCCCACCTGAGGTCTCCTCTGGCTCTCGGCCACTGCCTGTCTCCAGCTGTTGCCTTTGGACGTCACCTCCACTGCTCTCCAGCACCAGTTATATGAACCCCAGGACTCTGGGACATCCTCCTGATGGGAACGATGCTGTAAACCTGTGATTTGTTGTTGTTGTTGCTCTCGGTATCTTTTATTCGGTGACAAAAAAGTTGTGATACCATTACAATGTCTGATAAGTCTTAAAGAAATGAAGATTTTTTTTTGCATAATAGGGTAGAGATTATGTCAGGACACCGGGAGAGAGAGAAACTCCCTTCTCTTTTCCAATAGCCCCGCGGGATCTTTACCATCCGCCTGAACAGGCAGACGGGACCTCGGGTTAACGTCTCCCCCCGAGTACGGCACCTCCCACAGTGCCCCCCCCCCCACCCCCCACAGCGCTGTATTGGAGCATCAGCTTAGACTGTGTGATTCCAAGTCCTGACGCGGGGCTTGAACCCACAACCTCCTGACACACGAGAGAGAGAGGGGGGGAGAGAAAGAGAGAGAAGGGGGTTCGGAGAGAGAGAGGGGGGAAGAGAGAGAGAGAGAGCTATCACTGGGTCAGGCTGATACAGTATGAGTGTAAGGTATATTGTCCTGAACTTCCCAGGGAGAGGGGGAATGGCCGTGGTCCCACTGCTCGAATCCCACAGGATAATTGGGAGGAATCGTTCGGCTCCTGCGGTTGTGACCCGGAGTGTGTGGTGTGGCTGCAATACCGACACACCAACACCAGGGGGCGGCTCCAACCCGATGGAGAATCATTGCGGTCATCTTAATAATAATATAGTAATCCTTGTGTTTGACACAGCGCCTCATCACGTCTTCCAGACGTCACAAAGCGCTTCACAGAATACACTGTGAATAGAATTGACTGTGTATTCTGTGGGCGAAACTCGGCAGCCAATTGCGCACAGCAGTGTCCCCACAAACCGGCGCGGATCGAGTGACAGATTATTATTATTTTTGATGGGGGAAGTGCTGGGGGGGCGTTGCATTGTGGGGGGTGCCGTCCTTGGGATGAGACCATAAGACCATAAGAATTAGGAGCAGGAGTTGGCCATTCAGCCCCTCGAGCCTGTGCCCCGCCATTTAATAAGATCGTGGCTGATCTTCTAACCTAATCCCATTACCCGCCCTATCCCCATATCCCTTAATCCCTCCATCCTTCAGAAATCTACAACCTCAGCCTTGAATAAGTTTAAGGACTGACTGAGATCCACGGCCTCTGCGGTAGAGAATTCCATAAATTCACTGCCCTCTGAGTGAAGAAATGTTTCCTCAACTCAATTCAAAACGGCTGATCCTTAACCCTGAGACTATGACCCAAGTTTTAGATTCTCCAACCGGGGAAACAGTCTCAAGGCATCTCCCCGGTCAAGACCCTTAAGAATCTTATAGGTTTCTCTAAGATCACCTCGAATTCTTCTATATTCCAGGGAATATCGGCCAAGTTTACTCAACCTCTCCTCATAGATCAACCCCCTCCTCCCAGGAACCGACCGAGTGAATCTACGCTGTTCCCTCTCTAAAGGGAGAATGGCCTTTGTTAATAAGGAAACCAAAGCTGCACACAATCCTCGAGGTGTGGCCTCACCAGAGCCCTGTACACCTGCAGCACGACTTCCCTCCTCCTGAACTCTAACCCTTTTGCAACGAACGCCAACATGGCATTAGCTTCCTGGTTGTTTGCTGTATCTGCAAACTAACTTTTTGTAACTGGTGTACAAGGACACCCAAATCCCTCTGAACACTGACACTATCTCGTCTCTCCCCTCTAGAAAATAATCGCTTTTCTATTTTTACTACAGTTAACCCGAGGTCCCGTCTGCCTGTTCGGGCGGATGGTAAAGATCCCGCGGGGCAATTGGAAAAGAGAAGGGAGTTTCTCTCTCTCTCTCCGGGTGTCCTGGACAACAATCCTCCAAATAATATTGCCCACTCGCCCCACGGCTGTTTGTGGGACGTCACTGTGCACAAAATTGGCCGCCACATTTACCCACAAAACCCACAGTCACTACACTTTACGGTGAATCCTGTGAAACGCTTTGGGATAAACAATAATGATCCTCGCATTTGATCTGGTGCCTTATCTCGTCTTTGAGAAGTTTCAAAGGCACTTCACAGAGATATCCTCCTGACATGGAAGGTGTTGTATGAAATGTTAGGGTTATGATGAGCCCCTCAGCCTCTGAGACCAGAGATTAAGAAAGCCGTCGGTGGGCCGGGGGAGCGGGTATTTATACACGTGTAGAGCTCGCAGTGGGGGAGGTGGGCATGCGCCAGGTTTACGGGAGGGGGGAGGGGACGAGCACATCCCTCGGGCTGTGTCCTGAGCTGTAAAAACAACGTGTAACGCCGCCCCCTGTAGGGAAAGGGCTCTGCCCCGAAAACAGCAACGTCAAAAGGAATCATTATTGTTTCAGCTAATTAGGATTTCCTCATCAAAACAATCCACTGCTTTGAACGCACAGTTTCTGAGCTTTAATGGTCCTCTAAAGCTAATTGTGACTTGGAATCTGCTCAGCATCCTGGCCTGACCACTCTCTCTCTCCCTCTCTCACTCTCTCTCTCTCCCCCTCTCACTCTCTCTCTCCCTCTCTCACTCTCCCCCTCTCACTCTCCCTCTCTCTCTCTCTCTCTCTCACTCTCTCTCTCTCACTCTCACTCTCACTCTCCCTCTCTCACTCTCACTCTCACTCTCTCACTCTCCCCCTCTCACTCTCACTCTCTCTCTCCCACTCTCACTCTCACTCTCTCACTCTCCCCCTCTCTCTCCCCCCCTCTCACTCTCACTCTCTCTCTCTCCCCCTCTCACTCTCCCTCTCTCTCTCTCACTCTCCCTCTCTCTCTCCCCCTCTCACTCTCTCTCTCTCCCTCTTTCCTCCTCTGTCTCTCTCTCTCTCTTTCCTCCTCTGTCTCTCTCTCTCTCTCTTTCCCCCTCTGTCTCTCTGTCTCTCTCTCTCTCACACGCTCTGTCTTTGTGAAGTGTTCCAAGACATTACTTTAAAGTATTGTGTTTTACAATCGGGCTTTTTTAATTCCGCTTTGATGGTGAGTCAGGTGCGTGTTGGGAGCTGTCTGCGGGGGAGACGGGGGGTTTAACGGCAACAGGGAGTAAGGAGCCACCTCCCCTGCTCTCTGCCCTTTCATGTGGGTTTCACATCAATGAATTATTTTACAGTCACACGTGGGCTCAGCTGCGGAACCCAAGATTAAAGGTTTAAATCACCTCAGAGCAGATGGAGAGATGCAGGAGGTCAGGCGGGGGTAGCAGCCTGAGGTCTCTCTCTCTCTCGTGCCATCTCTGCCCAGAACCTCCTCCTCACAACGCAGCCCTTTAACCCCTTGTACACCCAGTGCAACCTGACGACAGTCTGACTGGCTTTGTTTTGGTCGGCTCGGTATCGCTGACACACTCGGAAAAAAGTCCCGCAGAGTGTGGGTTAGCGAGCTCGCCCCCGAGCGAGAGGACCGTGGGTTTGATTCCCAGGCAGAGTGAAACCTCACGGAAGTTCCCTCACTCCACGCGCCTCTGTTACCCAACGGGAAGTAGGAACCCGGTTGTTCGTCGATTGGCGGATCGCTTTCCGGCGGTAACAGTCCCTTCAAGAAAAAATGATTTGGTCGTTAATCCACCACTGCTTATGGGACACCGCTGTGGGCAATCGGCCGCCGTGTTTCACTTACAAAATACATTGTCACTGGAGTAAGGAAACTTTGGCCAGGAATCGAACACTGGTCCTCTCACACACACTACATTACTCCCCTCTTTATCTCCAAGATAAATAAAGAGGTACGGAGTTCCTGAGATTATTATTATTACTATTATTGTGGTGTGAGGGAGAGGGGAAAGGACTTGGCCCTGAACACTGCCCTTTAATTCACAGTCCAGAGAGAGCGCAGGTCCATTGCCCAACAGCTGTTTCTGGTCAGTGCCAATGCAGATGTTCTCGACGCTCCACAGAAGCTGTTTAATTAGCCAATAAAACAATCCCAGTGGCTAACGACGGGGAACTGACTGAGCCGTCAGTGTGTGTGAATTGGCAAAACCGTACCATCCTCCGCACGGCTCACTGCAGCCGCCTTTCCTTTTGGTTTTGTCTCTCTCTGTTTATTTAACATGTCTCCCCCCCACCGCACCCCCCACACCCCCAAACCCCACCCCGCAACCCCCCCACACAACAACAACAAGATTCCATTTATAGAGCGCCTTTCACGTCGGGAGGACGTCCCAAGGAGCTGTACAGTTGGGTCAGGACCGGGGGGTTGGGGGAAATGGTCAGGGTGAGGGGAGGGAAGGGAGGGAGCGAGGAGGGGGTAGAGAGTCGAGAGGGGAGCTGAAGGCTGAAGGTCAAAGAGAAAGGTCTTGAGACCGGCCTTGAAGGAGGAAAGGGAGGAGGCGGCGAAGGCACTGGGGATGGAGTTCCAGAGCCTCGGGGCTGAGAGGCTGAAGGCCCGGCCACCGATGGTAGGGCGGTTGGGGCGGGGGATGTGGAGCAGACCGGAGCCAGAGGAACGGAGGGTACGGGCAGGTAGGTAGGGGGATAGTAGGTCGGAGAGGTAGGAGGAAGCGAGGCCGTGAATGGCCTTGTAGGTGAGGATGAGGATCTTGAATTCGATCCTCTGGGGGATGGAGAGCAGTGGAGGCGAGCGAGGGTGAGGGTGAGGGCGAGGGTGAGGGCGAGAGTGAGGGCGAGGGCGAGGGTGAGGGTGGGAGTGATGTGGTCCCGAAGCCTGGTGCGGGACAGTACACGAGCTGCAGAGTTCTGAATGACCTGCAGTGTGGAGGGAGGGCCGGGAAGGCCGACGAGGAGAGAGTTCCCATAGTCCAGCCTTGAGGTGACAAAGGCGTGGACCAGAGTTTCAGCCGCGTGAGGGGTGAGGTAGTGCCGTAGTCTGGCGATGTTCCGGAGGTGATGGAAGGCGGTGCCAGTTGTGGTGCGGATATGAGGGAGAAAGGACAGCTCAGGGTCGAGAACCCCGAGGTTCCTGATGGCTTTGAGAGGTGGAGAGTGCAGCCTTGGATGCTGATGCTGTCAGCGCCTGAGGTGCGGAGGCGCTGACGTGAGCCAATCAGGAGGGCCTCGGTTTTCGCACGTTGAGCTGAAGAAAGTTGTCTCTCGTCCAGGACTCGATGTCGGACAGACAGCTGTCAGGACATCGGGGGTCGTGGAGTTGAGGGTAGAGGAGGAAAGGTAGAGTTGGGTGTCATCCGCATACATGTGGAAGTTAACCCCATGTCTGCGGATGATGTCACCACAGGGGGAGCATATAGAGGGTGAAGAGGAGGGGACCGAGGACAGAGCCCTGAGGGACACCACATGAGACAGTGCGGGGGGTGGAGGAAAGCCGTTCGTGGAAACAAAGTGAAGATGGTGGGAGAGGTACGACCTATACCACTCAAGGACAGGGCCTTGAAGGTTGAGGTGGGAGGACAAGCGGTGGAGGAGGATAGCGTGGTCGACCGTATCGAATGCTGCCGATAGGTCGAGGAGGACGAGGAGGCAGAGGGAGCCCTGGTCACAGATGGTCAGGATGTCATTGGTGACCTTGACCAGGGCAGTTTCTGTGCTATGGGCAGCACGGAAACCCGACTGAAGGGGTTCGAATAGTGAATGGGTGGAGAGGAAAGAGCGCAGTTGGGAGGCGACAACTCGTTCCAGGACCTTGGACAGGAAGGGGAGGTTGGAGATGGGCCGGTAGCTTGATAGCTGCGACGCATCAAGGGAGGGTTTTTTAAGGTGGGAGTGATGGTGGCAGTTTTTAAGGGAATGGGACAGAGCCAGAGGAGAGGGACAGGTTGACGATGTCTGTGATATGTGGGGCAAGGAGGTGGAGCTGGGAGATAAGGAGTGGAGTGGGGATGGGGTCAAGGGAGCAGGTGGTGGGTTTCAGGGATAGGATGAGTTTGGTGACAGAGGGTGGGGAAACGGGTACGAAGGTGTGTAGGGGAGGATGGGTAGGAGTCGGAGTAAGGGGGTGGGGGGGTGGGTGGATGTTGGAGGGGCAGTGACCGCGGAGCGGATTCCCTTGATTTTGGATTCAAGGAAATCCAGCATCTCCTCGCAGTGAAGGTTGGAGGAGATGACCTGCGCGGGGTGGCGGGGGGGACGGAGGAGTCGGGATGTGGTAGAGAACAGTAGCCTGGGGTTGTTCTTCGCCTCCAGGATTATCCTGGAGTAGAAGGACGACTTGGCCGAGGCTAGAGTGGAGCGGTAGATTTTGAGGAGGTCCAGCCAGATTTGTCGGTGGACCGTTAGGCCAGATTTGACGCAGGTGCGTTCAGCGGCCCCGCACCTGGCTCTTCAGTGAGCGGAGGTGGGTGGTGAACCAGGGGGAGGAGCGAGAGTAGGAGACAGTACGGGAGGTGATGGGGGCAGAGTGTCAAGTGTGGAGGAGAGGGTGTTGTGGAGGAGGGTGAGAGCAGAAGAGGGGTCAGTGAGGGTTGAAGGCCAGAGGGAGAGGAGTTCAGAGGACTCCAAGGCACCCCCAAACCCCACCCCGCAACCCCCCCCACATCTGAAGAACAGAGCCTCTGGCAATGCAACACTCCCCCAGCGCTGCGCGGGGGCGATGGTCTCACAGTCCCGATGTGGGGGCTTGAACCCACAACTCGGAGGCAAAGCTTTTGAGTGCACTTTGACCGGCTCTTTGGTCAGGGAGGGGAGGTCAGTGGGGTCTCTTTGGGGCTGTTAGTTGCAAGGAAACATATAGGTAATAAACATTCAGAATCGCCCCCCAGCTCATGTACTCTCACGCACCAGAATCCGTGACCCCATCACCCCCACCCTCGCCCGACCCCATCACCCCCACCCTCGCCCGACCCCATCACTCCCACCTTCACCCGACCCCATCACTCCCACCCTCGCCCGACCCCATCACTCCCACCCTCGCCCGACCCCATCACCCCCACCCTCGCCTGACTCCATCACGCCTACCCTCACCCAACTCCATCACCCCGACCCTCGCCCAACCCATCACTCCCACCCTCGCTCGACCCCATCACTCCCACCCTCGCCCGACCCCATCACTCCCACTCTCGCCCGACCCCATCACTCCCACCCTCGCCCGACCCCATCACTTCCACCCTCGCCCGACCCCATCACTCCCACCCTCGCCCGACCCCATCACTCCCACCCTCGCCCGACTCCATCACCCCCACCCTCGCCCGATCCCATCATTCCCACCTTCGCCCGATCCCATCACTCCCACCCTCGCCCGACCCCATCACTCCCACCCTCGCCCGACCCCATTACCCCCACCCTCGCCCGACTCCACTGGCTCCCCATACACCAGAGGATCGAGTTCAAGATCCTCGTCCTCACCTTTAAGGCCATCCATGGCCTTGTCCCCTCCTATCTCTCTGACCTGCGGACTCCCTACCAACCTGCCCCCTCCCTCCGTTCATCGGGCTCCGGCTGCTCCATGTCTCCCGCCCGACCCGCCCTACCATCGGTGGCCTCTCTGCCCCCACACTCTGGAACTCCATCCCACGGTCCCTTGGCCTCGCTTCCTCCCTCACCTCCTTCAAGGCCGGTCTCAAGGCCCTTTTCTTCGATTGTGCCTTTGGTCTCCCTCCCACCTCTCTGCCTTCCCTCCCCCCTCCTCCACCCCCCCCCCCATGCTCGGGCCCTGACACCTGACTGTTCAGCGCTTTGAGACGTCCTCCCGACGTGAAAGGCGCTCTATAAATGTCATTGTGTTGTTGTTGATGTTTCCTCTGGTTTCCCACAGATGTGTTGGACGGCAAAGTGAAACATTTTTACAGGCGCCTGGAGTTCCAGCAGTTGGTGGGATTCTCCGTCAGGACAAGGCTCAACGTCACGGGGAGAGGCATCGCTCGTGGGTCAGTGAACATTTCTCCTTCTAACCCCATTTCAGGTGTGACAGCCTGGCCCAGTGGTAGCACTCTCTCTCTCTCCCCCTCCTCTCTCTCTCTCTCTCCCCATCCCTCTCTCTCTATCTGGGAGGTGCCGTCCTCGGGGGAAGACGTTAACCCGAGGTCCCGTCTGCCTGTTCAGGCAGATGGTAAAGATCCCGCGGGGCTATTGGAAAAGAGAAGGGAGTTTCTCTCTCTCTCCCGGTGTCCTGGACAGCAATCCCCCAAATAATATTGCCCACTCGCCCCACGGCTGTTTGTGGGGACACTGCTGTGTGCAATTGGCTGTCATGTTCACCAACAAAATACACAGTCACTACACTTCACAGTATATTCTGTGAAGCGCTTTGAGACGTCCCAATGCCGTGGTAAGACGTATATCAAGCGCGAGGTTTATTATTTATTATTGTATGAAAGGCAGGCGTTGTGACGTCTTGTCCCTGACATGAGTGCCTCTCTGTGGGTCCCTGTTGGTGCTGACTGCAGAGTGTCACCCACTGCGGACCTGCCACTAACCCAACCTTCTGTGTAACCAACCCCCTACTCCGTTCATTGTCATCAAGGTTCCAGGCCTGTGAGCGCACGTGCGATGAAGACCCCTGCTGTAAAGGGTTTGGATTTCTCCGAGACCTTCAGACACCGGGTGAGTACAGACACCGTGGTCCTTGTGACAACAGTGACTTCCTGTGTAAAAGTCTCAGGTGTTGACCTTGGTGGCGCTCTGTCCTCCGGGTTCACTGCGGCAGAGATTCTGGGCTCCTTCAAGGCCTAGTCAGCCCTCAGCTCGAGGACATAACAGCCCTCAGCTGGTTTGTCCTGTAGTGTAGTGGTTAGAGTGTTCCCCGCGAGAGGACCAGGGTTCGATTCTCAGGCACAGCAAGTTTCCTTACTCCGCACACCTCAGTTTAAGCGCTCTGAGACGCTACCCTGTGTTGTTGTTTGCCGAGCAGTAAGTAGAAACCCAGTTGTTAGTCGATTGGCGGATCACTTTCCAGGGATGATAATTTCTCAAAAACACAAAAAAAAGTCACTCCATCACTCCACCCACCACTGTTTGTGGGACGCTGCTGTGCACAATTGGTTGCCATGTTTCGCCCACAAAATACACAGTCACTGCACTTTACAGTACAGCTTGTGAAGAGCTTGGAGATCTCTCAACGACCCAACAAGACACTATATTGTTATTTTATCCGGTGACGTGTATTTTTTCCCCCAACAACTAGCCGGGGAGGTGCTGTGTGTGACCCTGAATGGTTTGGGAGTGCAGAGCTGCAGTGAGGAGTTCAGGACATGGCGGGTGATGGACTGTACGGCATCTCTAGTTGACGTGGGAAGCTACCCATTTGGATGGTACCAGAAACCTGGTATGTTAACAGTGAGACAGAGATTGATGTGGTGTCTGTGTCATGAGCCTTTCTCCTTGCAAACCTCAACCCCCCAACTCCCCCCTCCCACCAAACCCCCAACTCTCCTCCAACCCCCTTCCCCCCAACCCCCTCCCGCCCCCAGCCACATGAGTTTAAGATCCTCATCCTCACTTTCAAATCCCTCCAAGATCTTGCCCTCACCTTACCTCTGAGATCTCCTCAAACCCTATCAAACTGTAAGGAAACTTTACTTTTATTATTATTCTATTAATGATAAATGATAAGCTGCCAGACAGTGATATCGATGGCCAAGCTGTGTGGGTTTAGCTGGTTAGACTCCAGCCGTTACCCCAACACACACTCTGGGCCCACCCCCAAGCCTTGGTTCTTGCCAACCTGCGCCTAATACTCTCCGGAATTAGGTAAGCGGGATGTGTCCCTCCAGAGAGAGAGAGAGAGAGAGAGAGCGCATTCCATCCCAACAATCTCTCTCTGGGATTCCCATGTGTGGGGGAATGGGGGGAATTCTCAGTCGGGTTTGGTTTGGAGACTCTTAAGCAGGTGATGGGTTTCCATGTGTCAGACACTCGCCTGATTTAAAAAAAACACAATTTGGATGTTAAATAATTGTCTCCTTTATTGTAGTTCCACAATCAATGATTATTCAAAGAGCAAAGATTCATTACCAAAAGACCTGATAATGGGATTGACCAGATCACCAGATAATTGAAGTATTGATCAGTCACCGATCCCTGGGAGAGCAGCAGGCAGTTGGGAATTGTCTGATCTGCATCTCATTGATCTCAATTGAACTCTTTATTTTATATCTGATTGGGTATTGTGAAGCCCAAACCAATCAAATAGAACAAACACCGTTTAGTTAAAGCTCATTGACCCGATGTTCAAGGTCTGTCTCATGTCCTACGTGTTGGTCATTTTTACGATTGATATATAGATGTCAGCCGGGCTCAGTTGGTAATGGTCTCACCTCTGAGTCAGGATGTTGTGGGTTCAAGCCCCACATCAGGACTTTGAGCTCACAGTCTAGGCTGAGGCTGCAGTGCAGTCCTGGGGTGGGGGCTATATTTGGAGACACCATCCTTCAGATGAGACATTAAACCGAGGTCCCGTCTGTGCTTGTTTAAGCGGATGTTAAAGATCCTGCAGCATAACAATAATAATTAATAATAATAATCCTTTCATTTGATATAGCACCTTATCACGTCTTCGAGACGTCTCTCACTCCGTGGCTATTTGTGGGGTGTTGCTGAGTGCAAACTGACAGCCGCATTTGCCCACGAAACAGTCAGTGTATTTATCAGTACATCCTGTGAAGCAATGCGAAATGTCTCGAGGACGTGAAGAGGCCAGGATTATTGTGTAAAAGAAAGATAAATGTTGGAAAAGGCCTGAGTGATGCCGAGGAGATCAAACGGCCTGTTGGTGGGTAACTCTGCCATTATCTCTCCTTTTACAGTCAGCCATTGGAACCGAGTGCCACACATGTGTCCACCCGACAGCCTTCCCCCTCCCCCTCGGAAAGGTAAGCTCAGGCTCTCTCTCTCGCTGCCCCCTATCCTCCTTACTGAGGAGGTACGCAGGATCTCCTCGGACTGAACTGGCCCCAAGGTGACATGTTTGGCAACAGAATCCAGCCCATCCTCAGATTGTCTCCAGTCCGGGTCCTGACCAGGAGGGGCCGCAGTGTCCCGGGGCACTCACTGCTGATGGCAGCACAGCCCGGCCCGGCTCATCAGTAGGACCTGGAAGGGCCGACCAGTCACTGGGGCCGGGAATCCTCCCCCTCAGCTCCTGGTAACCCCACAGCCAAAGCCCTAACTAACGGGGAGGGGGGTCCTCGCTGGACAAGCAACAACAACAACAACAACAACAAGATTCCATTTATAAATCTGCAGCGCAGACAGTGATATCAATGGCCGAGCGGTGTGGGTTTAGCGGGTTACACTCCAGCAGTTACCCCAACACACACTCTGGGGCCCCCCAAAACCTTGGCTCTCGCCAACCTGTGCCTAATACTCTCCGGAATTAGGTAAACATAATGTGTCCTTCCAGAGAGAGAGAGAGAGAGAGAGCGCATTCCATCACAACAATGTGTCGCTGGGATTTCCATGTGTAGTTGGGATGTGGGGAATTCTTAGTTTGGTTTGGAGACTCTTTAGCAGGTGATAGGTTTTCACATGTGTCAGACACCCGGCTGCCCCCACCCCCCAAACAAATTCCCCTCTCCCTCTCGTTGAATCACCTTGTGACAATCTGCCAACATACTGAAGGTCTAATTTGCGTTGTTTCTTAACCCGAGGTCCCGTCTGCCTGTTCAGGTGGATGGTAAAGATCCTGCGGGACTATTGGAAAAGAGAAGGGAGTTTCTCTCTCTCTCTCCCGGTGTCCTGGACAACAATCCCCAAAATAACATTGCCCACTCGCCCCACGGCTGTGTGTGGGGCACTGCTGTGTGCAATTGTGCTGCTGTATTTCACCCACAAAATAGTCACTTCATTTGACAATAAATCATTTGACATTTGTATAGTGCGTTTCACTTCGGGAGGACATCCCAAGGCGCTGGACAATCAGTGTTTCAGCCATACTAATGAAAGGATTATTATTAATGCAACCCCCTCCCCCCAGTAAACCACATGAAACAACACAGACTGGGAGGCAGAGGATCAGAGCTAAGCTCGATTACTCACCACATCTGGAGTGTTCCCCACCACATCTGGTGCTCCTCTTGTTCCTTGCTAGGACGTGGGCACACGGCGAGCTGGGCTGGAACGTGGAGAGATAGAGAGAGATAGACAGAGCTGGAGAGAGAGAGGATGCCTCGAAGGACAAGCGCTCTCTGTCATTAACATGGAGTATGTAACAATGGGTCGTTGTTAGTCATGTGCGGTGAAGCTGTTATTAAACAACACCGAGCTGCACATGTTACACACACCCACACACACGGTCCGTGCCAATCACCCTCGGGTTAAACATTCAGCCTGGTTTGGGCGAAACAGACAGATGATGCTTGTCTCAATTCAGTCGCTTTCTCTCCCTCTCTCTCTCTCTCCTTCGTCCGTCTCTAAATGTCTTTCAGTAACAATTAGAATCACAGCATGGAAGGAGGCCATTCGGCTCCTCGTTCTCATGCTGCCTCTGGGACGCCATCCCACGTGAAGAGCGCTATATAAATGCAAGTTGTTGTTGCCTCAAGGAAGGAACTGTGTCTCACTTCCCTGCCTTTCCTTCTCCCTCCCCACCGTAGTTGGTGGATGAAAATGTCTTGCGGGGGTATAGGGAATTGAGTAAAACTTAGTTAAAGTTGTGTAACTGCAATTGGTTGTTGTTGTTGTTGAAGGGTGGGTACCCCTTTAAGACAAGTGAGCTTCTGCCTTGGACTGACAGGTCCATTGGGCAATTGGTTGAGAAAGGCCAGACAAGCCAACAGCCTAGAAGATCCTCCTCCTCACCTGTGAAGCCCTCCGCAGTCTTGCTCCTCCCTCCTCTGCCACTTATCAAAGCCTCACCACCTGTCTGCTCCCTCCACTCCGCTCTGGGAACATGCTTCAATGTTCCTCTGCCCTGTCCACCCCACCATCAGTGGTCAGGCCTTTGGAACTCCATCCCACATTCCCTTCACCTCACCCCCTCCCTTGCCTCCTTCAAGGCACACCTCAAGACCCTCCTCTTCGACCTCGGCTTTGGTCACCCTCCTTCCTCTACCCTCTCTGGCCTCCACCCCTCCTGATCCCAACCCCAAGCTCGGGTCCAAATCCCTGAATGTCCAGCGCCTTGGGTTATCCTCCTGACATGAAAAGGTCCTGTATGTGTAAATGTAATTTGTTGTTAACGTGTTGAAATGCCACAAAGAGCTTCATGAGCAGTTATTGACAACAACGTACAGCATTTATACGGAGCCTTTCACATTCAGAGGACATCCTAAGGTGCTGGACAGTTGAGGGTTTGCACCAACATGTTGTCAACACAGTTCCTGCAATGCCAGACATTTTCACCACCGTCTACAAACAGACATGAAGTGAGTGATTGATTTTATTTGGGGGATTGCCGGCCAGGACACCGGGAGAGAGAGAGGAAACTCCCTTCTCTTTTTGAGTAGCCCCGCGGGATCTTTAACATCCACCTGAATAGGCAGACGGGACCTCGGTTCCATGTTAGGGTGAGGTCAGGCCTTACCTGGAATGCAGTTCTGGTCACAGTTCGAGGTTACTGCCCAGCCATTGGAACATAGGAACAGGAGTAGGCCATTCAGCCGCTCAAGCCTGTTCCGTCATTCTATTGGATCGTCAACGACAACTTGCATTTATATAATTCTCGTCATGCAGGGTAGCGTCCTGCAGTGCTTGATCTGTACCTCAACTCCAATCACCCGCTTTTGCCCCATATCCCTCGATCCTCTGCCCTCACAATCTCTCTACTTCAGTCTTGAAAGTGTGAATGGATCCAATCATAATTCACAGCCTTTTATGGGAGTGAGTTCCAGATTCCCACTAACCCTTTGTGTGCAAACGTGTTTCCTGATTCCACTCCTAAATGGCCGGGCTCTAATTTTCAGATGATGCCCCTGGTTCTGGATTGATCTGAAGCAGGAGAGCAACAAGCATAGTCTCCAGTGTTAGAGCAGACCTAGAATAAGCCAGGACTCACAGATAGTGAGAGGGACATGATCGAGTGTCTGAGAGAGTGAGGAGGGCAGGGCTAGAGGCAGAGGATCTGGGTGTGAAGGCAATGAGCAGATGGACCGGTTTGGTTACAGTGTCGCTGGGGACCTGGCAACTCCTGGATACCTCTCCCGTCCTCCAGCCGACCATCTCCAACTTCGATGTTATACACATCAGCGGAGACACAGCCCAGCTCAATGGAGACTTCACAACCAGCGCCAGAGACTGGTGTCTGTCAGGTCAGTGTGGGCCCCAGGGGGTGGAGGGGGTCAGTGGGGGAGGGATGAGTAGGGGAGGGGATGAGTGGGGGAGAGAGTGAGTGGGGGGAGGTGAGTAGGGGGTGTGAGTGAAGGAAGGTGTGAGTGGGAAAGCGGGGGAGGGGGTTAACGGAGGAGAGCGGGGGAGAGTGGGGGAGGGGTAGAGAGGGTGTGAGTGAAGGAAGGTGTGAGAGGGAGAGCGGGGGGGGGGAGAGCGAGGGGGAGGGCAGAGGGAGAGCGGGGGAGGGGGAGAGCGAGGGGAGGGCAGAGCGAGCGGGAGGGAGGGGAGAGCGAAAGGGAGGAAGGGGGAGAGCGAGGGGGAGGGCAGAGCGAGAGGGAGAGCGGGGGAGGGGGAGAGCGAGGGGGAGGGCAGAGCGAGAGGGAGAGCGGGCGAGCGAGGGTGGGGGAGGGGGTGATGTTTAAGCCATGTTTAAGGCCACAGGTGGAAGACTTAGCAGTGTAGACCTGTTGTCAGCGGGAGGGGCGACGCTGATGGTGACCTCGTGCTTCTCTCAGTGTCTCTGACCTCTGTCTCTCTCTCTGTGGGTAGTGTGTGAGTCCAGCCGTGCCTGTGCCATGGTAACCCTCGACCCTGGGCAGGTGGGGACACGGTGTGTCCTGTACCCTGACACCCACACCTGTGGACACAGCCTGCGAGGCCAGGACTGCCGTGTGCTGCTCAGGGAGCCAGCTCAAGCCCTCTACCTGCGCACAGGTGAGTCCTGCCAGGCGGCAGCTCTCTGCTCTGCCCTCAACGGCACTGAGTGTCGATGCTTTCCACACGATGGTCCCGGCTGACTCACTCCTGACGCCCACCCTCCCTGGCTCAGCCGGGCTCACTCACAGCCACAGAGGAATTGCTGGACGATAAAAGACCAAAGTCCATCTACTTCATCTTCTCCCCTCGTTTCACTCACAAAATCTACAGTCAATCCCTTTGCAGCATATTCTGTGAAGCGCTTTGAGACGTCTCAACGCTGTGATACGGTCCTGTATCAAATACAAGGATTATTGTTATCCTGGTAGTCGCTTGCTACAATCATGGAGATGTTGATGGCAATTAATTCTGTTTGGATTAGTTTCCAACAGAGTGGGAAGCTTTGGGAGCCTTGAATCCAAAGTTTCCTGGTTCTTGCAAACCAGAGTACTAACTACTCACTGGAGGTCAGGACTCAAATTCCTCATATACTGTTTTCTAAGAACAGAAATGTTTCTAATTTGCATTTCAAAAAATCAACACTTTCTGGTTCCACCGTCTCCCTCGGGAGCTGTTCCTCACATTTACTACTCGCTCACTGCAGTAGTGTTTCCGCAGATTAGGATTGAATTTACCCCCTTCAGTCGCAGGCCGTGGCCTCTGATTGTCGCTCGCATTCTTGCCTCTGAGCAGGAGGTTGAATTGTTTTTCTTCAGTTATAATAATAATCTTTGCATTTGATACGGCGCCTTATCACGTTGTTGAGACGTTTCAAAGAGCTTCATAGACTATACTGTGAAGTCCAGTGACGGTATTTTGTGGGCAAATCGCAGCATCCAGTTGCACACAGCAGCGTCCCACAAACAGTCGTGGATCGAGTTACCACATTTTTTTGGGAAGCGGTTTTTAACCCTGGAAAGCGATCCACCAGTCGACTAACAACCGAGTTCCTATTCACTGGTAACCAGAGGCGAGTGTGTGGAGTAAGGAAATCTGCCTAAGGTTTCTTCCCGCCCGGGAATCAAACCCAGGTCACCTGGCCTGTCGAGAACTCGAACCATTTATGGCCTTGTCGTGGGTCTCACAGTTCAGTAGCTGCTGGAGATGAGGTATTATTTGGCCTAAATTGGGGGGAGGTTCACCGGTCCACGGCCCTGAAGCTCCATGAAGTCGATCGCGATGGACTGGGTGGAGCCCCCCCTGGGCTAAGCGGACGCTCCAATAGAGTCCAACCTTCTGGCCCACAGGCATCGTGGTCAACAGTGGAGCCAACACAGCACATCAGGTCATGATGGAGTTTCTAATGATAAATTACAATGATAAAGGCCCTCTATCAAATGGAAGGGTTATGATTAGGGCTATTATTAGGGTATGGTTAGAGTGAGGGTTAATGGCGGGGCAACAACAACAACTTGTATGTAATCAGCGCCTTCACAGGGACGTCCTCCTGACGTGAAAGGCGCTTTATAAATGGAATCTTGTTGTTGTTGTTGTTGTAGTGTCCCAGAGTGCTTGACAGTGTCGGAGTCTGACCCCGAGTCGGGGGAGGGCGGAGGTGACCGTAAGCACAATCAATAAGGAAGGTCTTTAGGTGGGATTTGAAAGTGTGGAGGGAGGGAGGGAGGGAGGGAAGGAGGGGCAGAGGGATTGAGGGAGAGAGTTCCAGAGCTTCGGGGCAACGAGGGTGGGAGGGGGTGTTCATGTTTTCGGGCGGAACAAACGGGGGGTTAACTGTGGGGAGGGGCTGACAGTGGGGGAGGGGGCTATCGTGTCCAGATCCCTTTAACAGTGTCCTGAGCTGCCTGTGACGGCCCGAGCCATCCGTAACTGTGCGTGTGACTGTTTCAGCTGCAGTGCAGTCGTGTGTGGGTCGCTGTGGGGGCTACGAGCCTGGCCAGACCTGTCAGTGTAACCTACAGTGCGACAGCTACACAGACTGCTGTCCGGACATCCACCTCTGCAGTGGTAAGCAGTCGGCACAGCGGGACCTGGGATTGATGGATAACCGGGACACAAAATAATAACACCACAAGCCCTGCATTTGACACAGCGTCGCACGCGCTCACAGAGCTTCACACCCATTTGATGCTTCTTGTTGATGTTCCCAGTTTCCCGGTTAGAGTCAGTCATATTGGTGGCTATTTTGTATGTTGAGCTCAATGTCCAAGTTAACCCCAAATGCCAAAGCCCTAACTAACGGGGAGGGGGGTCCTCGCTGGACAAGCAGCGGGAAAGCTGCCGGACAGTGATATCAATGGCCGAGCGGTGTGGGTTTAGCGGGTTACACTCCAGCAGTTACCCCAACACACACTCTGGGGGCCCCCCCAAGCCTTGGCTCTCACCAACCTGTGCCTAACATTCTCCGGAATTAGGTAATTAGAGAGAGAGAGAGAGCGCATTCCATTCCAACAATCTCTCTCTGGGGCTTCCGTGTCTCGGGGGGATGTGGGGAATTCTCAGTTTAGTTTGGTTTGGAGACTCTTAAGAAGGTGATGGATTTCTGCACGTGTCAGACACCCGGTTGACCCTTCTCCCAACCCCCAAAAAAGTGGGTGTTGAATCCATAACCTTCTGATGTGGGGGTGAAAGAGCCAGGGCACCACTGTCCAGAGCGAGGTGTGAGGCCAGGGAGGGGATTCGGGGGAAAGCTTACTCACAAACACTCTCACTCCTCTCCCCCCTCCTCCCCCCGCAGACCCTACCCTGTTGGAGAGCCACCCTGGGCTGACCTCGGTCCTGCTCCCAGGCCGGGGGCTGCTTCTCGGCGAGAACCGGGAGACGCTGGTGGGAACGGAGTGGAGGAGAGTCAGCCGTTACTTGGGCGTTCCCTACGCCGCAGCCCCAACCGGAGCTGCACGGTTCAGCCCTCCGGCCCCCCTCAACTGGACTGGCCAGTGGAACGCCACCAACTATAGGTCTGCGGGGCTGTGGGTGGGTGGGGCCACATGGGGTCGGCAGATGGGTGGGTCATTGTGTGTGTGACTATTGGTGGGTGGGGCTCATATGTGGGCAGAGCCTGCTGGGTGGAGCTATGGGTGGGCTGGGCAATATGTGGGCAGAATTTGGGGGTTGGCGGGGCTTGAACCCACAACCTCCTGATTTAGAGGTGAGAGACCCAACCAAGTTACCAGGGTGGCCAGGAAGGTGGTTGAGGTTAGGTCACTGGGACTCCGTTAAGCAGCAGCTCGATGCTGTGATGGGGGGTCAGTACGGTGGGGGATCTGGAGGGATGAAGGGTCTTTTTAATCTGAACTGATCTTGTGATGGTGTTTTGATTATTTAATCTGCTTCCTGCTCAGACCCAGCTGCCTGCAGCCCGGCCATGTCAAGGCCCATTACTCCACTGTGAGCGAAGATTGCCTCTTCCTCAATGTATTCGTCCCGAAGAACATCGTAAGTGCTGACACTCACTGCACTGGGGGCCGGGAATCCTCCCCCTCAGCTCCTGGTAACCCCACAGCCAAAGCCCTAACTAACGGGGAAGGGGGTCCTCGCTGGACAAGCAGCGGGAAAGCTGCCGGACAGTGATATCAATGGCCGAGCGGTGTGGGTTTAGCGGGTTACACTCCAGCAGTTACCCCAACACACACTCTGGAGGGTAGGAGGGCAGCCAAAGGCACGGTCGAAGAGGAGGATCTTAAGGGGTGCCTTAAAGGAGGCACGAGAAGACATGCACTCTCTCTCTGTCCTCACTCTCACTCACTCTCTATAACATACACTCTCTCCCACACATTCTCTTTCTTCCCCCCACCCCCCCTCTCTCTCACTCTCTCTCACTCTCTCTCTCTCTCAGGCCGGGGACAGCTCTGTGCTGCTGTTTTTTCACAACAGCGGAGCCGAATACGGAGACGAGTCTGGGAGCCAGATTGACGGCTCGTGGCTGGCGGCCATCGGCAACATCATCGTGGTGACAGCGAGCTACCGTGTCGGAGTCTTTGGCTTTCTGAGTGCCGGTGAGCAGAGCTGTGCCGGGGCTGTGCTGTGCCGGGGATGTGCTGTGCCAGTCTGTGCCGGGGCAGTGCTGTGCCGGGGATGTGCTGTGCAGTCTGTGCCGGGGCTGTGCTGTGCCGGAGATGTGCTGTGGCAGTCTGTGCCGGGGCTGTGCTGTGCCGGAGATGTGCTGTGGCAGTCTGTGCCGGGGGTGTGCTGTGCCGGGGGTGTGCTGTGCCAGTCTGTGCCGGGGCTGTGCTGTGCCGGGGATGTGCTGTGGCAGTCTGTGCCGGGGCTGTGCTGTGGCAGTCTGTGCCGGGGCAGTGCTGTGCCGGGGATGTGCTGTGGCAGTCTGTGCCGGGGCTGTGCTGTGCCGGGGATGTGCTGTGCCAGTCTGTGCCGGGGCAGTGCTGTGCCGGGGATGTGCTGTGCCAGTCTGTGCCGGGGCTGTGCTGTGCCGGGGCTGTGCTGTGCCGGGGATGTGCTGTGCCAGTCTGTGCCGGGGTTGTGCTGTGCCGGGGATGTGCTGTGGCAGTCTGTGCCAGCGTTGCTCTTTGGGACGTCCTCCTGACGTGAAAGGCGCGACACAAATGTAATTTGTTGTTGTTTTTGTGCGGGATGTGCTTTGCTGTATTGGCGGTCTGGCCTCTCTGCCCCTACTCTTTGGAATTCCATCCCGAGGTCCCTGTGCCTCGCCCCCTCTTGCCTCCTCCTTGGCGACTTTTATAGCGACATCTTAACGGTATGATAAGGCCCTATATCAAATGCAAGGGTTGTTATTGTTGGGCTGCTATGAATGCTTTTATGCCCCCAAAACTCTGGAAAACTCTTCCTCAATCCCTCTGTCTTGCCCCTTCCTTCCCCATCTTCAGGCAGGTCACCTCCCGCCGGCTCGGTGTTGTGCTCCGTCACTGTCAAGCGCTCTGGGACGTTCCCTTGCATGAGGGGCGCTGTTAAATGTAAATTGTTGTTGACACTGCACCAGACACAGAGTGATGTCTGACTGCTCCCTGGCAGGGCTGGAGGAAGCCCCTGGTAACTGGGGGCTGATGGACCAGTTGGCCGTGATGCAGTGGCTCCACCGCAATATCCAGCACTTCGGGGGCTCGGCCTCAAAGCTCACCATCGCCGCTGACCTCCAGGGAGCCGATATCACCAGCCTGAACCTGGTGTCCGCCAGCAGCCAGCAGCTGTTCCAGAGAATGGCCCTTCTGGTAAGTCTCCGCTTGGTCAAGAGTGATGTACAACTGGTGAGAGTTAGTGTGGGAACGAGCGGGGCAAGGGCGAGGGTGGGACTGAGTGACAGCGCTGGTGTGAGAGTGAGCGGGACAACAATGATAACTGGCACCGTTGATGTGGGGGGGAAGTCGTCATCACCTCCGAGACACAAAAAGCACAGCCACTGACTGGGAAAGCCTTCGGACACCACAACACCTCTCCTCTCCAGGACTTTTCGACATATTTCCTTGAGCACTGTGGTACATTACACCGGGGGACCTTCGATGTGCAGCTTGAATGGGTTCGAATTGTATAAACCGTGATCTGAATGACAGCGCAAATCGCGATATTAACGGATAATTTGCTCCAAAAAAATGGAACATTACATTTTTTAGTGTCAACCGGTGAGGTAGTAAAAAAACAGCCGGGCCAGTTAAAAACAGAGAGCAACCCGAGGCGCACATCACAAGGAAATGCAGCATATAAAGGCAATTTGTTGTTGGTGGTGGTTGTTGTTGTTGTACCATCTTGGAGTGCTGATGCCTGGGGTGGGCCTGAGTTGTGGATGAGCTGGACCTTGTCAATAATAATAATAATCATTGCATTTGATATAGCGCCTTATCCCGCCGTTCAGACGTCTCAAAGCGCTTCACAGGATATACTGTAAAGTGGTTTGACTGTGTGTTTGTGGATGACACGGGGTTACCCAATTTGCTCACAAACAATGACCAGTGTTATTTTGATTTGGAGGATTTGTTGACTGCGTTTTGTGGTTGGTGTGAAAGAGGAAGTTCCTGTCACAGGAGATGTCATTCTCTGTCTGCACAGCTCTGAACCTTAGACGCAGTTCTATTCACCACAAAATAAGGGGCCCACCCACGCTTTAGCTTATTCCTCTCACACTGAGGACCATCATCATTGCTCTCCTCTTGCGTTGTAGCTCACTATGAGCAACGACTGGACAAGCTCAGGCTCTTCAGTCTTGAGAGAAGGCATCTCAGAGAGGTGTGTAACATTGTAAATGGGATTGAAGAAATAAATCCAGATCATTATAATAGGATGCATCACGACAGTAGAACAAGAGGACACAGGTTAAGAGGTGTAAAGGGCAATTTCAGGTCAGATACCAGGAAGTGTTTTTTTACCCGATTTAAAATAGTTGTCGAAAGAAACAGAGGGGAGGGGAGGAGAAATGTGGTCACACAGCGAGTTGTTGGGATCTGGAATGTATTGCCTGAAAGGCCGGTGGGAACTGATTCAATAATAACTTTTAAGAGAGAAATAGATAATTATTTGGGGAGAACAAGTTTGCAGAGCTATTGGGAGAGAGAGAGTGGAGGAGTGGGGTTGATCAGGGCTATGGGGAGAGAGCGGGGGGAGTGGGGTTGATCAGGGCTATGGGGAGAGAGCGGGGGAGTGGGGTTGATCAGGGCTATGGGGAGAGAGCGGGGGAGTGGGGTTGATCAGGGCTATGGGGAGAGAGCGGGGGAGTGGGGTTGATCAGGGCTATGGGGAGAGAGCGGGGGAGTGGGGTTGATCAGGGCTATGGGGAGAGAGCGGGGGGAGTGGGGTTGATCAGGGCTATGGGGGAGAGCGGGGGAGTGGGTTGATCAGGGCTATGGGGAGAGAGCGGGGGAGTGGGGTTGATCGGGGCTATGGGGAGAGTGCGGGGGAGTGAGGTTGATCAGGGCTATGGGGAGAGAGTGGGGGGAGTGGGGTTGATCAGGGCTATGGGGGGAGAGCGGGGGAGTGGGGTTTATTGGGGCTATGGGGAGAGAGTGGGGGAGTGGGGTTGATCAGGGCTGTGGGGAGAGCGGGGGAGTGGGGTTGATCAGGGCTATGGGGAGAGAGTGGGGGAGTGGGGTTGATCAGGGCTATGGGGAGGGAGCGGGGGAGTGGGGTTGATCAGGGCTATGGGAGAGAGTGGGGGAGTGGGGTTGATCAGGGCTATGGGGAGAGGGGGGAGTGGGGTTGATTTGGAAGCTCTTTTCAAAGAGCGCACAGACACAATGGGCCGAATGGCCTCCTTTTGTGCTGTTTAATTCTATGATTCCACCCAGAGGGTAATTATTGACTGGAAGATGGTGGCCAGAAAGTGGGGTTGAGGCCACTGGGACTTGTTTAAACAGAAGTTCGATGTTGTGATTATAATAAAAAATAATAAACCTTTCATTTGATATGGAGCTATTCACGTCTTCTGGACATCTCAATGTGCTTCACATGATACGCTGTGAGGTATAATGATTGTGTATTTTGTGGGTGAAAAGCAACAGCCAGATGTGCACAGCAGTGTCCCACAAACAGAGATGGATTCAGTGACCAAATTTATTCTTGAAGGGATTATTACCCCTGGAAAGGATCTGTCTATCGACCAGGTTTCTACTTAATGTTAGGTAAATAGAAGTGTGTGGAGTAAGGAAACTTGCCCAACATTTCCACCTGCCCGGGAGTCAAACTCAGGTCCTCTCGTTTGCGAAGTGAGTGCCCTAACCACTGAGCTACAGGACAGGAGGGTGGATGTTTTGGAGGGAAGAGATCAGATGGACCGAAGGGCAATCTTCATCCAAATCCATCTTGTGAGAAAGTGTTTGGGGGAGGACGTCTTTGTGGCTGTTCACCTTTAAACCTTTGAGGCTTCGGGGTGACGTGTGCTCATCAAAATGAAAACATACAAGAGGCCAAGAAAAGAATATTTGTTTTTAATGAATCAATACTATATTCCAACACAACGGCACAAGTTAACTTTTAACTCTGTGAAGCGCTTTGGGACGTCCTCCCAACGTGAAAAGTGCTATATCAAATGCAAGGATTATTATTATTATTATTATTATTATTATTAACTCTTGGCATCTCCTCAATAGACGCTGCTTCGCGGTTTTCAACATTATAAATATACAGGCATCGATTCACAGCCGATACACAGTGGGTACAGAGCTGATGGGCATCCGAGGATCAAAGGATTAACAGACCACATGTGGAGGATATTTGTGTGGTGGGAGAGAGAGAGAAAGAAAGGGGTTATTGGGCAATCGAGGTGAAAGCTTCCATGGTCAAGTTAAAATGGGGAAGTATTTTTTGACGGATTTGAAAGCTCAGAGGAGGAAGAGAACTATTGACAGACTGCGTGGTTGTGAAATACTGGACAGAATCAGAGAAGTAGATGGCGTAAACAGGAGAGCGCACAGAGGCTGAGAGCAATTCACAATTCCTGGTGTCCAGTGCACCAACTGGAGGAGATAAACACACCTCAGTGTCCACGCGCTGTCCAAGACGTCCCAAGGCGTTGAATTCTAACGGTCAGCAGTGGCAGCAGCTACACGCGATAGTGCCATCTGATGGCAGAGCCCAGTACTGCACACCTTGGTTTCCATTGACCCCTCCAGGCTGGTCAAACCAAGCCTTCTTTCCACCGGGTCATAGAACCACAGAGATTCACAACCCGTCTAGTCCGCACTGCCTCTCAGAACGAGCTGTCCATTCACTCCCCCCACCCACTCTATTCCCCACCACCCACCTCAAGCCTATCCTATCTATCTTTCATAAAACCATCAACTTGATGAGACGTTACACCAAGGTCCCGTCTGCCTGTTCAGGTGGATGTTAAAGATCCCATGGCACTATCCTGGTCAATAATCTCCCAAATAATCATAATAATAATCCTTGCATTTGACACAGCGCCTTATCACATTGTAGAGACGTCTCAAAGTGCTTCACAGAAAATATTGTAAAGTGAATTGACTGTTATTTTGTGGGTGAAACGCGGCAGCCAATTGCGCACAGCAGCGTCCCACACACAGCCGTGGATTGAGTGACCAAATCTTTTTTTTAGGGATTATTAACCCAGAAAGCGATCCACCAATCGACTAACGACCGGGTTCAATTCACTTTACAGTATATGCTGTGAAGCACTTTGAGACTTTGCGACGTCACTCCATAAATGTAATTTTGTTGTTGTTGTTGAGACGTCTCAAAGACGTGATAAGGCTCTGTATCAAATACACGGATTATTATTATTATTCCTATTCACTGCGCGGTAAACAGAGGCGGGTGGAGTAAGGAAAGGTTGCCTAAGGTTTCGCGCTGCCTGGAAAAAGAGCCCAGGTCCTCTCGATTGCGAGGCGCTTTCTCTAACCACTGCACTGTAGTGGGGGAAGGGGGGGGTTCTTCTGTGGTGTCTCGACTGGGATTACTTCCTGCTCTGAAAAACAATAACATGCATTTATACAGCCCACTTCTCTGTAGCATCTCGGACGCTCTCCTGTGAGTTGTGATGGGGGAGGAAGCTGTGGTGGGTGAGGGGGGGGGGAAGGGGGTGAAAGGTTCTGTCTTCTTGGCCAGAACCAGCTGGCGATAGAGAACCACCCGCCCATATTGACCCACGTTCCTCCCCACATCAGTCAAACTCAAACTCATCTTCCTCATACTGCTCCTCGGGGCTGGAGGTCAGCAGACACGTACGCCTGTTACGCGGGTCCGGCTTGACTGTCTTTTTTCTGTGGCTGCCGCCCTGGAAGGTGTATCTGTCCTCGTCCTTGGCCTCAGCCTGGACCAGGGACATGTAGGAGGCGATGCTGTGCCGCAGCCCGTAGCTCAGGAAAGGCTGCTCGCGGGCGGCGGGTGCTTCTTCACTCAACAGCTCTCTCCTGGGGAACAAACCATCAAGAAACTCGTCAAGGGCCGTTTCCCAAGAGCTCAGCCCAGGCGCTCGCTGGTTTGACTGTCAACTCCGTGTCCCCAGGATGTGAGTCTGCAAGGCCCCAGGTCAGGGGCTCTGAGCTCACGGTCTAGGCTGACGCTCCAGCCCAGTCCTGGGGGGAGACCTGTATTGTCACAGGCACCGTTCTTTGAATGATTCCCTTCCCTCGCCCCCTCTCTTGTCTCCTTCAAGGCATGACTCAAGAGCCTCCTCTTCCCACACCCTCCCTGCTCTATGCCCTCCCGATTCCCAACCCTCAGCTCGAGTCTGAATCCTTGACTTTTCAGCGCTTTGGGAAGTCCTCCCGAGGTGAAGGACGCTGTGTGTGTAATGTAAATGTCAGTTGTCGTTGTTGAGATGTTAATCTGAGGCCCTATCAGTCTGTTCAGGTGGACATTAGAGATCTCAGTGCTACGGGAAAAGAGAAGGGAATTTCTCTCTCCCTGGCTCCTGGCTAACAATTCCCCCAAATAAACGTGGTCATTCGCTTCATGGCTGTTTGTGGGACGTTGCTGTGTGCAAATTGTCTGCTGCGTTTCCAGTCATTGCACGTTGTGACATTTGGATGTGGAAAGAAGCTTTATGAAGCGTAAGGATTATTATTATTATTGCACAGTTTAGAGGCAGCCCATTACAGGAAAGATGTAACACCAACACCAATGGAATGGTCAGAGTGTAGATTCACGTTAACGGGCTGGAGAGACCACAACACAGCCCTGCAACATCAAACTCTCCGAAGCTCATACAAGGTGTTACTGCTGAGTGTATTTGCTGGCGATTTGCATACCAACAAGGGGTAATGATTATAATAATAGTTGCATTTGATATAGCGCCTTATCACACCTTCGAGACGTCTCAAAGTGCTTCACGGAATTGATTGTATTTTTTGGGGGAGAAGCGCGGCAGCCACCTGTGCGCAGCAGTGTCCGCAAACAATCGCGGATTGAGTGAGCACTTTTTTTTTGGAGCAATTATTATCTTCGGGAAAGTGATCCGCAAATCGACTAACAACTGGGTTCCTACTCACTGCTGGTAAACAGAGGTGTGTGTGGAGTGAGGAAACTGGCCTGAGGTTTCGCCCTCCCCGGGAATCAAGCCCAGGTCCTCTCACTTGCGAGGCGAGGGCTCTAACCACTGAGCTACAGGACTCCACAAGTTTTGCCAAACAGCGAATGAAATGAATAATCGGTATTATCTGTGGAATTGTCAGCCAGAACTCTGGGAGGATCCAGCATCTGCTCCAGAGTTGCCAGGGATCTCATTGTAAGGAGCACTCGAGAGGGTGGGGCTGGTTATCCTGAGCTGAGAAGCGCTCTAACAGGCCAACACGCTGGATAGTCATTACCTGTTCACATGGTCCCCAGGTCCCTGTTCACAATGATCTCCCTGCCCTCCACCCTCCTGGTCCCAACCCCCAGCTCAGATCCTAATCCCTGACTGCCCAGCCCCCTGGGACATCCTCCCGAGGTGAAAGGTGCTGCGTAACTGTAATGTGTTGTTGTCCCCAGTTCCTTTTTCACACTGTCCCCAGTTACCTGTTGACATTCCTCCAGTTGAACTGACTGCGCCTCATGACGATGGGCTGTTCTGTGGGGGTCTCGGTGCTGAGCTGGGTCAGGCAGGGATGTGTCAGCAAACAGCAGAGCCCATCCATTACCTCTGGAGTGGGAGAGACAAGAGAGGTTCAGTGTTTGTTGTCTCTGATAGCCATCCTCAGGAGACTTGCCTCCTCCACCAGCTCACTCCGCCCTTCAACCTTTTTTTTTGCCCAACCGGGTGTCTGACATGTGGAAACCCATCACCTGCTTAAGAGTCTCCAACCCAAGCTGAGAATTCCCCACATCCCCCCACACCTGGAAACCTCAGAGAGAGATTGTTGGAATGGAATGCGCTCTCTCTCTCTCTCTGGAGGGAAACTTCCTGTTTACCTAATTCCAGAGAGTATTAGGCGCAGGTTGGCAGGAGCCAAGGTTTGGGGGGACCCCAGAGTGTGTGTTGGGGTAACTGCTGGAGTGTAATCCGCTGAACCCACACCGCTCGGCCATTGATATCACTGTCCGGCAGCTTTCCCGCTGCTTGTCCAGCGAGGACCCCCCTCCCCGTTAGTTAGGGCTTTGGCTGTGGGGTTACCAGGAGCTGAGGGGGAGGATTCCCGGCCCCCAGTGACTGGTCGGCCCTTCCAGGTCCTGCTGATGAGCCGGGCCGGGCTGTGCTGCCATCAGCAGTGAGTGCCCCGGGACACTGCGGCCCCTCCTGGTCAGGACCCGGACTGGAGACCGGCACAGAGGGTGGGGGGCGATTCCAACGTTTCATTGTCAAACAGGTCACCCTGGGGCCAGTTCAACTCCAAGGAGAAAACCTGAGTGGGCGGAAGCCTGAGGCACATAATTCTCCCTGATCTCAACCTGAAGACCATTGTAGTAAAATCTACATTTATTATCCTCCAAAACCTTTGGAAAACCTCTAATTTCAGCCTTAATCCCAAAGCCATTTTTTCTTTTAAGAACTTCTGAGAAACTCGGCTTCCAAGGTTTGCTAATCTCTGCCCAATGTTACGTTTCAAAATGACGTTCTTAAGGCTAAGATTGTGAGGTTCAACAACAACAACACGTGGCGTTTATATAGTGCCCCTCACACAGGGCAGCGTCTCGGAGGGCTTATCACAGACCTCCACACTCCTCCTGACTCTTGAGGGTCTAATTAGCAGGATTTCTTAATGAGAAATGAAAGGGTGACAAAGTTGTCGTCAATACATTTACACTTGTAGATAATTGAGTTCCTCTTTCACATTACGCAAACCCTATGATGAAAACCATTAAGAAACAGCGCAAACTAGTTCCCCACAATTATTACTTAATTTCTTTTCCGGAAAATGGAGTACCATAGTGAAGTGGTTAGCTCACCTCGCGAGTGAAAGGACACCGGTTCAATTCCCAGTCAGGGTGAAACCCAAGGTAAGTCTCCTTACTACACACCCCTCTGTTTACCGTTAGTAGGAACTCGGTGGTTAGTCGATTAGCAGATCAGGAATGATCCCTCCAAAAAAAAATGGTCACTCAATCCACGACTGTTTGTGGGACAATTTGTGGGACTGTTTGTGCACAATGGGCTGCTGCGTTTTGCTCATAAAATACACAGTCAATCCACTTTACAGTATATTCTATGAACAACAACAAAATCACATTTGTATACCATCAGGAAGATGTGCCAAGGCGCTGGACAATCAGTGTTACGGACCCGAGCTGGGGGTTTGGATCGAGGAGGGTGATCAAAGGCATGGTCGAAGAGGAGGTTCTTGAGACAGGCCTTGAAGGTAGCAAGGGAGGGGGTGAGGTGGAGGGACTGCGGAATGGAGTTCCAGAGGGTGGGGGCTGAGTGGCAGAAGGCCCACCCGCCAATAGTGAGGCGGGGGACGTTAAGCAGGCCAGAGCCTGCTGAGCAAAGGGAGCGGGTCGGTTGGTAGAGGGTAAGAAGGTCACAGAGGTAGGGGGTGCAAGGCCATGGAGGGCTTTAAAGGTGAGGGCCAGGATCTTTTGAAGCACTTTGAGATGTCTCGACGATGTGAATCATATACACTTGAGAAGATTGGACAGATTGGAGCTTTTCTCTCTAGAGTTGAGAAGATTGAGAGGGGGCCGGATAGAGGGGTTTAAGGTTATGAATGGAAGAAACAAAGGAAGGGAAGATACAGTAGATTGATTGGCAAAGTTGGTTCTGTTTTCACTGGAGAAGGTTGAGACGAGACCTGATGGAGGTGGACACAACGATGAGGGTTTTTGACGAGGTGAATTAGGGAGAAGTTGTTTCCATTGATAGGGGTAGGGAAGTCAGTGACTTGGGGACTCGTATCAGATAGCCACAAGATACAGCAAAAGGGGAACTCAGAAAAAGGGGAAATCCCAGAATTGTTGGGATGTGGACTAGCCGCTGAGTCGGGTGGTCGCTGTGGAGATCAATGCGTGTTTCAAGAGGGAACTAAATGCGCGAATAAAACTCAAGAATTCAATAGAATTGGCTGCTGTGATTCGGTGATGGGTTTCCACATATATCAGACACCCGGCTGGGCAAGACTATGAGAGAGAGTTGGCTTGAAGGGGTGGGGGTAAAAGGTGAGGAGGTGGGATTCAAATGATCTTTCCCCTCCCTCCATGCTCTGCCACTGTCAAGCGCTCTGGGACGCTGACCTGCATGAGGAGTGCTGTGTAAATACATATTGTTGTTGTTGTTGTTGATCTCCTTTCTGCCCCACATCCGTGCCATGACCCGCTCTGCCTTCCCCCATCTCCGCAATCTCACCCGGTTCCGCCTCTCAGGCCGCCGGGACCTTTATCCACACATTCATCACATCCAGGTTCAACTACGCCAATTCCCTGTTTGTCGGCCTCCCCAACTCTTCCCTCCACAGACTGCAGATCATTCAGAACTCTGCAGCTCATGTCCTCTCCCGCACCAGGCTCCGTGGCCCCATCACCCCCATCCTCCCGATGTGAAAGGCTCTAAACAAATGTAATATTGTATTGTATCCTCGCCCGCCTCCACTGGCTTCCCATCCCCCAGAGGATACAGTTCAAAATCCTCGTCCTCGCCTTCAAGGCTCTCCAGGCCTTGCTCCTCCCTACCTCTGCGACCTGCTAACCCCATATCAACCTGCCTGCTCCCGCCACACAGCAGGCTCCGGCCTGCTCCACGTCCCCCGCCCGGCCCACCCTCACTGCCATTGCCCTTCGGCCTCTCTTTGGAACTCCATCCCGCATTCCCTCGGCCTCGCTCCCTCCCTTGCATCCTTCAAGGCCCGTCTCAAGACTCTCCTCTTTGACCGCGCCTTTGGTCACCCTCCTACAACAACAACAACAACAAGATTCCATTTATAAAGCGCCTTTCACGTCAGGAGGACGTCCCAAGGCGCTGTACAGTTGGGTCATGACCCGAGCAGGGGGGAAATGGTCAGGGTGAGGGAAGGGAGGGAGCAAGGAGGGGGGAAATGGTCAGGGTGAGGGGAGGGAAGGGAGGGAGCGAGGAGGGGGAAGAGAGTCGAGAGGGGAGCTGAAGGCACGGTCAAAGAGAAAGGTTTTGAGACCGGCCTTGAAGGAGGAAAGGGAGGAAGCAAGGCGAAGGCACTGGGGGATGGAGTTCCAGAGCCTGGGGGCTGAGAGGCTGAAGGCCCGACCACCGATGGTAGGGCGGTTGGGGTGGGGGACGTGGAGCAGACCGGAGCCAGAGGAACGGAGGGTACGGGCAGGTAGGTAGGGGGATAGTAGGTTGGAGAGGTAGGAGGGAGCAAGGCCGTGAATGGCCTTGTAGGTGAGGATGAGGATCTTGAAATCAATCCTCTGGGGGATGGGGAGCCAGTGGAGGCGAGCGAGGGTGGGAGTGATGTGGTCGCGGTGTCTGGTGCGGGACAGTACACGAGCTGCAGAGTTCTGAATGACCTGCAGTGTGGAGGGAGTTGGCGGGAAGGCCGGCGAGAAGAGAGTTCCCATAGTCCAGCCTTGAGGTGACAAAGGCGTGGACCAGGGTTTCAGCAGCGTGAGGGGTGAGGTAGTGCCGTAGTCTGGCGATGTTCCGGAGGTGATGGAAGGCGGTGCCAGTTGTAGTGCGGATGTGAGGGAGAAAGGACAACTCAGGGTCGAACAAAACGCCTACCCCCACCTTCCCTGCCCTCCCCCCCACCCCAATCCCAACCCCCAGCTTGGGTCCAAATCCCTGACTCTCCAGTGCCTTGGATCATCCGCCTGACATGAAAGCTTCTGTGTCAATGTCATTTGTTTGTTGTTGTTGTTGCTGTTGTTGTTGCTCTGTGAGCCTGTGGGGACTTGAAGTCTGTGAGGCTGAATGATCTCTTTCTGTGCTGTAGATTTTTATGTTCCAGTGTTATGATAAGGTGGTGTGTGTGACAGCCATCAGGAGCCATCTCTAGTGATGGGCAGAGACAGTGTGACCAGGGCTCACCGCTATAGTGGTTGACCATGTCCTCCAGGCACTGGAACGTCAGCCGCTGCTGGATGTAATACCATTTGTTGGGCAGCCGGAAAATCCTATAGTGCTTCACACATCTCAGGGTTTCCTGACTGTAGTGTCGCACGGACAGGCAGTAGCTCCCTGGAGGAGTAAATACACACACACCAGTTCACACCAATACCTTTATAAATGTAGCTCAGTAGTTAGAGCCCTCGCATCGCGAGCGAGAGGACCTGGGTTTGATTCCCGGGCAGGGCGAAACCTTGGGCAAGTTTCCTTACTCCACACCCCACTGTTTTCCAAGTAGGAACTCTGTTGTTAGTCAATTGGCGGATTGGGAATGATCCCTCAAAAAATATGTGGTCACTCAATCCACGACTGTTTGTGGGGACGCTGCTGTGCACAATTGGCTGCCGCGTTTCACCCACAACATACACAGTCACTGCATTTTACAGTGTATCCTGTGAAGCGCTTTGAGACGTCTCGCAGACGTGATAAGGAGCTGTATCAAATGCAAGGATTATTATTATTTTCCTTGTGATTTCAAACAGTTTTTATATGCCGTCCATACATGTGCTTGCTTGTGTGTTTATAGCAATTCTTGTGAAAACACAGTACACATGCTGCTTGATTTATGTTTGTGCGTCTGCAATCCTCTTTTTTAATTCTAATAATCCCTTCAAAAAATAATAATTTGTTCACTCAATCCACAACTGTTTGTGGGACACTGCTGTGCGCAATTGGCTGCCATGTTTACCAACAAAGATATACAGTCAATATACTTGACAGTTTATCCCGTGAAGTGCTTTGAGATGTCTCAACGGCGTGATAAGACATAATATCAAATGCAAGAATTATAATTATCTGTACAGATGTTCCCACTTCCTGAAATAGTTTGATTTTTCTCTTTCAGTGTGACCAGCATCATTGGATTGGGAGTTGGAGCGGGTGCATTTATCCTGACTAAATTTGCTGTAAGTTTGGCATAAACTATTTAGCCATTTTGACGATTTACCTCTAGCGGCTAAATATGCATAAAGTACAAAACCTCTTGTCATTTTTACAATCTTACAGTTGGCCCACCCGGACCTTGTTGAGGGCCTGTGCCTCATTAATATCAACCCCTGTGCTGAAGGCTGGATGGACTGGGCAGCATCTAAGGTAATAATGTAAAGCGAGTCCGGTATTTATTAACTAAAAGTTCTGGGGAAGTTTGGTAGATGTTCTATAGTTGTTGCACACCAGCGATCCGATTGTAGGTCAGTCTGGCTCAAGTTAGTAGCACTCTCGCCTCCAAGTTGGAAGGTTGTAGGTTCAAGCCCCACCTTGGGACATGGAACTTGTATAGTAAACCTGACGCTACAGTGCTGTGCTTGGGGGGGGTGTTGCATTGTCGGAGGTGCGGTCCTTGGATGGGACGGTAAACCAAAGCCCCGTCTGGCTGTTCAGGTGGATTTTAAAGGAATTTTCTCTCTCCCAGTGTCCCCCCAGTAAAATTGGTGTTTCACTTCATAGCGGTTTGCGGAACATGACTGTACAAATTGGCTGCTGCATTCACCCACCAAACACAGTCACTCCACTTTACAATATTACTTGTGAAGCGCTTTCCTAATGTGAAAGGTGCTGTATCAAATGCAAGGACTATTATTATTGTTCTTACAGTGAGGGAGATCTAGACTCTGTTGCATGCTTCCATTGTCCCTCATTAAGTGCAAATTGGAGACATATTAAAAGTGGATGTTTAACTTGTTATATTTCTGCTCTCGTCACCTACAAACACATTATGTTACCACTGGAGCTCAAAGGTTAATGGGAAGAATTGAGTCTCCTGTTTTGGTTCTAGTGGGGGTGGTGGTTAGGGTGGGGTAATGACCAAAAGGAAGTTTATGCCAGAAATGATAATGCTATCATAATCCTTGCATTTGATATAACACTTTATAACACTTTAAAAGCTCTAACCAATATGCTACAGGACTCCACGGAAACCCTACAGGACTCAATGTCCTTCATTGACTCCGAGGTGCAAATACTACCAACTGAGTCAGTCTGATGTGCCTGATGTGTGTAATGCAGCAAAAAAGATTTTAATAAAATATATTTTTTTCCCTCTCTGCTAGCTCACTGGTCTGACTGGTGCCTTGGATGATGTTGTGATTTCACACCTCTTTAGCAAGGTGAGCTGAGTGTCAAGTTGTCTCATTCACACAGTTCCCCGTATACTTGGAACAGTGTTCCCCATTCTAAAGCTGATGTTTAGGTCTGGGTACAAAATGTAACAAAGACCTGAAGGCTCCCCAAATAATGTCTGCAAGCCTCTCCTTAACTCATTGGGTTTATCAGAAACAGTCAATATTTGTGATGAGATTTTATTGCTGTAGTTGCCAGAATGACTTGTTCCCATAGTTATTTTTGGCGTTTGTTGACGTGTGTTAATAGCGAGTCTAAACAGAGTTAGAGAAACTCGAAATGATAGGAAGATAGGAGTCAGAAATGGTGGTGGGGTGGGATCTGAACTAGGGTCGTACATATGACTAGACTAGTCCTTTTGAAATGCACCTGGGTTTGAGTTTACACTGGGACACTTGGGTTTAAAATGGGAAACACTGAATGTCCAGCACCTTAGGATGTCGTCCGATGTGAAACGCTACATAAATGTAATTGTTGTTGTTGACCAAAACCAATGTATTTCACACACTTCTTTTTAGGAGAAGTTCACAACAACCTTGGCATGATTCAGACCTACCCGCCATCACATTTCTCACGACATCAATCAGACCAACCTGCATCACTTTATCAATTCCTACAACCAGTAAGGTTTTTTTTTATTACTGTAAACAAGCTTACAAAGCCAGTAAGAGGGACTAATGTGCTTACAGTTAAACTAATAAAGCAGCTCCATGTGTACGTGAAGATTAAATCCACAACCCAGTGTTTATGCTTACACAAAGCCAATAGCTCAAGTCAGCAATTTCAGATGATCTGGGAAGAGCGTGAAGGGACCAGCCCCTACCCAAGGGAGTAAATCCTCACCTTCAAAGCCCTCCACAGCCTTGCTCCTCCTATCTCGGTGACCTGTTAACTCATTACACCTGTTAGCTCTCTCTGCTCAGCAGGCTCCGGCTTGCTCCATGTCACCTGCCCGATTATAATAATAATAATAATAATCCTTGCATTTGATATAGCGCTTTTCATGTTGGGAGGACGTCCCAAAGCGCTTCACAGAACACACTGTAAAGTGAATTGACTGTATATTTGTGGGCAAACACGGCAGCCAATGTCCCACAAACAGTCGTAGATTGAAAATGACCAATTTATTATTGTTTTGTTTTGGAGGGATTATTATTAGGCTCTGTGTGGAGTAAGAAAACTTGCCCAAGGTTTCGCCCTCTGCCGGGAATTGAACTCAGGTCTCTCACTTGCAAAGCGGAGTGCTCTAACCACTGAGCTACAGGACTCCACATCGGTTCCCCTCCATCGGCAGTCAGGCCTTCGGCCTCCCTTCCCCATCTTTTGGAACTCCATTCCACAGTTCCTTCACTTCACCCCCTCCCTTGCCTCCTTCAAAAGGCCTGTCTCAACCATGTGCCTATCTTCAACCACGCCTTCAGTCACCCTCCTACCCTCCTTGCCCTCCACCCCACCTGATCCCAAACCCCAGCTTAGGTCCAAATCTTTGGCTGTTCAGCTGCTTGGGACATCTTCCCGATGTGAAAGCACTGTGCAAATGTCATTGTTTTTTGTTGTAAAGTGACTTATATAAGTTCTTCTCCGTGGTTACACCAGCATTGGCTGAGTGATAGGATTAGTCAGTAGCGGGAGGGGCAGAAAGGGATCTTTTGATTACTCTGGAAGAGCTGACTTCAGGATGTGATTTGTTATAACTAATGAGTGACTTTTCCTCCTCGCAGCCGAAGAGACCTGGACATTGAACGCCCTGTAGCTGGGATGCACAATTATATGACCTTAAAGTGAGTTACAGATTAACTCTGCATTTGTGCTTGTTGTTCAGGACACAGCTGATTCACCACCAGCCAGGTTTACTGTGTAAAGGAATGTTGCACTGGGCTCATGGAGAAGAGAAAATGTGAACCTTGTAACTAGGTCTAAGGAATCCTATAGAGTGCAGTCCTGTTGTGTAGTGGTTCAGAGTGCGCGCCAAGCAAGCAAGAGGACCTGGGTCGATTCCTGGGCAGGGTGGAACTTTAGGCAAGTTTCCTTACTCCACACGCCTCTGTTTACCAGCAGTAAGTTGGAACCTGATTGTTAATCGATTGGCAAATTGCTTTTCAGGGGCAATAGTTCCTTTAAAAAAATAATATGGTCACCAAATCCACAACTGTTCATGAGACAGTGCTGTGTGCAATTGGCTGCCATGGTTCACCAAAATTACCAATTCACTTTACAAATATATTCTGTGAAGACGCGATAAGGCGCTACATCAAATGCAAGGATTATTATTCCTTCTCTTGAATGAGCTGTTAAACCGAGGCTCCATCTGCCTGATCAGTTGGAGTTAAACGATTTCATGGCATTATTCGTAAGGAGAATGGAGTTTTTTTCAGTGTCCTAACCAGCAATCTCCAAAGTAAAAATTGGCCATTCACATGAAAGTGTGAATATTATTATTAAGAATAACACAGCAAGTATACCACCCAGATCCAGAGAGATTCATTTGGGAATCTTCAGAATGTCCAGAAACTGTTTATTTGAACAAATGAAATGTAAAGTTAAGAGTGTAAAGTAGGCTGGATTAGCACCGTTAGAGGATTGACTGTCTGGAGGACAGCCACTCATCTCAGGCTCTGACCCCTGAATGCACAACATTCTGTCGAGATCACTTCACAAAGCTTTGGCTGTGATCCTTTAGTGTGGTCTTTGAGCAGCTGTGTTTGCCTGTGGCAAATTTTGTGGTGTGCATTGGGACTGCGTTAATGAATTGCTCCCTTTGTTTCTGGTTTACAGATGTCACTCGTTGCTGGTGGTTGGAGACAGTTCACCTGCTGTGGATGCTGTGGTATGTGCAGACTAGAATAATAACCGTATGTTTTGGGAGACAATTAAGTGGACTGTTAACATCCCTCATTAACTCTTAAATAATTCTCACAATTGTATCATCTCCCACTGCAAGAAAAATACAATAAAATCAAGGAAGGCAACATGAACATTCAAATCAAATATTTACAGATTATAAAACAGCTTGAAAAGTACATGACAATTGTTCCAGAAAATGATGGGTCTGAAAATTTCCATTGATGGTGGAGTCAGAATAAGACAATACTGTTTAATATTGAGATTGGGAATTGGTCAGAATAAGGACTGGAAGGTTGCTCTGCTGGCTGTGAAGGTCCCATAAAATGAGCACGGCCTATGCTCAGGTCCTAGAAGCTTTATAACCAGTATAGGGGATATAACATCTTCGTTCCATCAGTCAAGAATTGGAGCGGGCCTCCTCATGCTTCAGTAGAGGATGGTAATTTTGGTTGAGGAAAACTAATTGGGGGTTAACCTAATTCAGAACTCCACCGCCTGCATACACCCCTTCACTGAACTCCATACCCCCATCAAAACTGTTCTAGCCAGGCTCCATTGGCTCCCTATCATCGAATCGATCGATTTCAAGATCTTCACACTCATCTTCATACCCTGGGACCTCCCTACTTCTCCACCCCAATCCACCAACCGCTGCCTCCACTTGACTGTTGGTCCTCATGCCCTCCGTTACATCATTGGTGGCTGCGCTTTCAGCCACTGCACCCTGAAACTCTGGAACACTCTCCCTCAATCCCTCCGCCTTGCACCCTCCTTCCTCATCTTCAGGTCATGCTTGAAGACCTTCCTCTTCGATTGTACTTACAGTTACCCCTTGTCTCAGCGTCGTGCTCTGCCACTGTCAAGCGCTTTTCAGTGTGAGGGGTGCTATATAATTGCAAGTTGTTGTTATTGATACCACACAAAACCCAGTCTGTATACAGATAAATTAGTTAGTGTGCAGTTTTAAATAGCGACTGATTTATTGACCGATAGCAATTGGTTAGCGACAAGTAAGGAATAAGAAATGTGGAGTAGCCTAATGTGTAGTGGAGCCACAGTTTCCAGATCGCTGGTTTAAATCCCAGTCTGGTCTCAGCCAGGGCTCAATTGCCCCAACTTTTCCAGGGAAGAAAACCACCCAGAGTCCCTGCTTCTGTGCCTTCTACAGCATACACTGCTGTCTGTGTTTAAACATGGCAGCAAGGAGTGGGGAAGGTCAGGCTCAGCTGTGATGCCGTCTACAGTCGGAACAGCTGCCAACACTCATTGCCAAGGCTCAGAGAGGAACAATGACGACTTGGGCAGCGGGTTTCTAAGGGCAAACAGTGTAACCACATCCCAGTGAAAGGAATCCTGTAGCTTAGTGGTCACTTGCCTTGCAAGTGAGATGACCTGAATTTGATTCCCTGGCAGGGTGAAACGTTAGGCAAGTCTCTACTGCACACACCTCTGTTCACCTAGCAGTAAGTAAGAACCTGGTTGTTAGTCGATTGGCGAATCGCTTTCCAGGGTTAATAATCCCTTCAAAATAAAATAAATAATAATCCACGACTGTTTGCGGGAAGCTGTGGTGCACATTGGCTGCCGCGTTTCCCCCACAAAATATACAGTAAATTTACTTTTCAGTATATCCTGTGAAGCGCTTTGAGACGACTCACTCAAATGATGAGGTGCTTATCAAATGCAGCAATTTTTATTATTAGTAGTATTGCTTCACAATGTTAATTGTGATATTCTGTTTCAGGTTGAATGTAACACAAGACTGGACCCAACCAAAACCACTCTGCTGAAGGTAACTCTCTCTAGCTACAAGTAGTAACAGGTTAATGCACCAGTTACCAGACTTAGGATGTTTACAGAAGATGAGCCTGAATGAAACAGTGCTGTTTCATGGAATGTCTTAGATTCAAAAAATATTGGTTTTAAAGGAAATAAGGCTAGCTGAGAATCTGCCACCAAGCAGTACATAGAATTTACAGCACGGAAACAGGTCATTCAGCCCAACTTGTGTTTGCCGGCTTTTGAGTCTCTATCCACTCCTCATTCCCTCACATACCCTTCTATTCTTTCACGGTCTGCACTGCCTTCCAAGTGGGGGAAGTTGAGGGAAGCTCTATATTATCTTTCAGATGAGATGTTAATCTGAAGTCCAGCTTGCCTGTTCAGATGGAAGTGAAAAGATGTCTCCCAGTGTTCTGCCTTCAGGTCATTTACTTCTTTGTGGGACCTTGCAGTGTGCAAAATGGCTTAAATCAACCAGACTGTGCTGTTAGTGAGAATCCACTTGCCGCAATTCAGCAATGTCTGAATCTGAGCATTAAAACTCCTTGCTCGGTGCTATATGTTTAATTCTCTGTAGAACCATAGTGGTCCACGTCCATGTATTTTACGTTCATCTTATTTCAGGTGAGATGTTAAAGGTTCTGTCTGTCTGCCTGTTCAGGTGGTCGTTAAAAGATCCCAAGGCACTATATGAAAAGAAAGTGGAGTTTCTCAAGAAGTGCTGACTAACTGTTCCCCAGATTAAAAAAAATCGGTCGTTCTCTAAATAACTTTGGGGTCATTGCTTTGAGGCAATTGTAGGCAAATATATAGTCACTACATTTTATACACACATGCCTCTGCAAAGCCTGACAGGCTGTTGTGTCCTGTAGTGTATTGGTTAGACCACACACCTCGCAAGTGAGAGGACCCGGGTTCGATTCCCGGGCAGCATGAAACCTTAGGCAAATTTTCTTACTCCACATGCCTCGGTTTACCTAGCAGTAAGTAGGAACCCAGTTGTTAATCAATTGATGGATCGCTTTTCCGGGGGTAATAATCCCTTTTAAAAAAATATGGTCACTCAGTCCATTTGTTTGTGGGACGCTGCTGTGTGCAATTGACTGCTGTGTTTCGCCCACAAAATATATAGTCAATTCACTTTACAGTATATTCTGTGAAGCGCTTTGAGATATCTCGGAAGATGTGATAAGGCCCTGTATTAAATGCAAAAATTATTATTATTATAAGTATTTTGATATGTCCTAACATGATAAAGCACCATATCAAATGCGAGGATTTTTGTTAAGATCACCTCACTTTGTTACTATCATAAAGCTTCTCCTGTAACAAAGTGAATAGTACCTCAGTCTGTAAATTAAAGTACTGAATTGCCTACCCCTTAAACTTTACAGGACATGCAGTTTTCTTACCAGGTTCCCAGGTCCTGACTGTTGTAAGTCTGAAGGAAGAATTGCCTTGTGTGACGCACAGATGTATGGTAGTAAACCTGTAGCTGGTAAAGAGGCCATTCATCATAATAATAGCTGAAGCCAGGGGAAATGTTCTTTGTAATTGAGTCCTGTAGTGCTTTGTTTAGAGAAAGCGAGAGGACGGATCGTTTGGCGATTGATGGATCACTTTCCAGTGGGAATAATCCCGTAAAAAAAATTGATCAATCCACAACTGTTTGTGGGACGGTTACTGTGTGCAATTGGCTGCCGCATTTTGCCCACAAAATACAGTCAATCGACTTTACAATATATTCTGTACAGTGCTTTGAGACGTCACAATGATGTGATAAGGCGCTGTTTCATATGCAATGATTATTAATAATAATTAATAATTATTCATAATAATTACCGAAAAAGACGTTGTTTTTCTATTGGGCATCAAGGCAATTGGCTCTTGTTAGTGTAGTAACTGTTCGGAGGAGAAAGAAGAAAGTGCTCTCATGTTTCACTGAGACACACAGACAAGAAAGGCCCAAAGTCAGCTATTGTTCCCTTGTCTGTACTGATTTAGCTGATCATGGTAAGGGCGCTGTGGTGGGGGAGCTGCTTCCCAGGAAAGGGGTTTGGGATGAAAATCAGCCACAGTTCCTGATCCCAATGCAGTATCCAAAAAAATAGAAAATCTGTGAATGTGTGGAAATTGTTGGCTATTTGTGGGACACTGCTGTGTGCCACTGGCTGATGTGACTCTCCCACAAAACACACTTTATGCTTGGGAAAAAGGTTGGCGTTAAAAAGTGACAAGTCCCTGGACCTGATGGTTTGCATCCCAGGGTTTTAAAAGAGGTAACTCATGAGATAGTGGAGGCTTTGTGTCTGATCTTTCAAAATTCTCTGGATTCTGGAACGGTTCCCATTGATTGGAAGATCGCAAACGTCACACCACTATTTAAGAGGGGTGGGAGAGAAAAGATGGGGAGCTATAGACCAGTTAGTCTGACATCAGTGGTAGGGAAAATTCTCGAGTCCTTAATTACGGATGTCGTAGTGGGATACTTAGAGGACCACAATATGATTAGACAGAGTCAACATGGATTTACAAAAGGGAAGTTATCCTTAACAAATCTTTTAGATTTTTTTGAGGACATATCAAGTAGATTAGATAGGGGGGAATCAGTGGATGTAGTGTATTTAGATTTCCAAAAGGCATTCAATACGGTGCCATATAAGAGGTTGATCCACAAGATTAGGGCCCATGGAATTCAGGGGAATATATCAGCATGGATTGAAGAATGGCTAATGGGAAGACAGGAAAGAGTAGGGATAAACGGGTCCTTCTCAGATTGGCGGGATGTGACTAGTCGAGTGCTTGGGCCTCAACTATTTACAATCTACATCAACGATCTAGATGAGGACATTGAACTTAATATATTCAAATTCTCAGATGACACTAAACCAGAGAGAGAGTAAACACCGAGGATGACATTAAAAAAATGCAATTAGATATAGATAGGCAGGTGAGTGGGCAAATAGGTGGCAGATGAAGTATAATGTAGGGAAGTGTGAGGCAGCAAAAACAGAAGAGCAAATTATTTTTTAGAAGGGGAGAGATTAGATAGTGTTAGCGTTCAGAGGGACTTGGGTGTCCTTGTGCACCAGTCACAAAAAGTTAGTTTGCAGGTACAGCAGCAATTAGGAAGGATAATGGTACGTTGGCATTTGTTACAAAGGGGTTAGAATATAAGAGTAGGGAAGTCTTGCTGCAACTGTATAGGGCCCCGGTGAGACCGCACCTGGAGTATTGTGTGCAGTTTTGGTCTCTTTATCTAAGAAAGGATGTACTTGCCTTGGAGGGGTACAATGTAGATTCACTGGGTTGGTACCTGGGATGAGGGGATGAGTTATGAGGATAGGTTGAGCAATTTAGGCCTATATTCTCTAGAATATAGAAGAATGAGTGATCTTATAGAAACCTATACGATTATTAAGGGGCACAACAGAATAGATAGAGGGATACGTTTCCGCTGGTTGGAGAAACTATAACCAGGGGTCACAGTCATAAAATTCGGGGTAAGCCCTTTTGCACTGAGTTGAGGAAAAACTTCTTCATTCAGAGGGCAGTGAATTTATGGAATTCTCTACCCCAATGGGCTGTAGATGCTCAGTCCTTGAACATATTCAAGACTGAGATTGATAGATTTCTTGTGGATAAAGGGATTAAGGGATATGGGAGAAGGCGGGTCGGTGGAGTTAGAATAGATCAGCCATGATCTTATTGAATGGCGGGGCACAGGCTCGAGGGCTGAATGGCCTACTCCTCTCCTAATTCTTATGTTCTTATGATATATTCTGTGAGGCGCTTTGAGACGTTTCAAAGATGTGATAAGGCGCTATGTCAAATGCAAGAATTATTTATAATAATTTATCTTGTGAAGGCAAAATTGGGCTGATCTGCAGGGCCCAGCATCCGCATGTCTAGTGTACATGTGAAGAAGAGCCACAGAGCTGCAGTGAGGTTTGCCTTGGGTTGAAGATCGCCTGTGAAGGGACTGCTGGCCCCTCTGTAACCTTATTGGTGTAAAAGCATCCTGCTGACGAGATGGTCAGCATTCCAACTGCACGTCACATTAAAGGATTTAGCTGTGGTGTGATGGGCATGTTCAGGGCTCACTGTGTTTATAGAGGATATATTTTGGCAGCTCTATTGAAGTATATGACAACACAGTCACAACTTTGCTCTCTTCTGCCAAGCTTAATGGGCAGTATTAGTATGTGGATGACCAAAAGGATTCCACTGTAAGATCACTGCTTAACAACCCGACGGTGGGGAGAGGGACAGAAGGGGAGGTTAACAACAACAACTTGCACTTATACATAGTGCCCTCCACGCAGGATAGCGTCTCAGAGCGCTTAAAGCCTGTGTTTGGACAATGTAATTAATATCCTCTATAGAGACTGTGGCAAAGCATGGTACAGCATGTAACTATTAGCACACAGCATGAGTGTGTGCTATATCAGGGGTGACTAGTATAATGTCAGTTGCAAAAAAACTGCTGATACCAGGAAGGCTTTTTTTCTCTTGTGCCATTTCTGTATTCCTCCACATGTGCCTCCTGTTATCTTTCGCTGCCTGTGTAAAGTTACTCAATGCTGGGCCACGCCATAGGGGTTCAGTATCTCAGCCTATGTGGAGATACAATAATTTGGTCACTCAATCCACAACCGTTTTTGGGACCTGCTGTGAGCAATTGGCTGCTGCGTTTCGCCCACAAAATACATAGTCACTCCACTTTACAGTATATTCTGTGAAGCGCTTTGAGGCGTCTTAATGACATGATAAGACCCTATAATCAAAGGATTATTGTTACTTACTGCTGCTTATCAGCCTTATATAGAGGTGCTCACCACAAGGCTATTTAGTGCAGTTGCACAGTATCTAAAGTTCACTGGTATAGCATCTGGAGGTGCTCAATAATACTGACTCAATGGCCCTTATTCACTCAAATGTTACTTGTGGTGTGCTCTGCAGCAGATCCATTTGTGAAGTTTCTTTACGATTTGTAGTGTGCCAGAAAACATTGAGTTGATTCACGAATCTGGCAACTTTTTTAACTCTCCAACATTATTTTGCACTTGATTCGAATGCAGATGGCTCACTTGCATGCTCGTTCGTGTGTTCAGACCACCTCACCCGGACTAGTGCTAACTCGTGTGCATTGGAGCCAGCGATAAGCAATTGGTTTGATGTGACTTGCCCTCTTTTCAATGGGAGGTGTTTCCTCTTTTGTCTGGTCATGCAGTGCAGATTCACCAGAATGATCGCAGCACTAAAAGGGTTAATTTATGAGGACTGGTTGCATAAACTTGGCTTGCATTTCCTTGAGTTTAGAAGTTTGATCCTAAATGAGGTGTTTAAAATGATAAAGGGAATCCAGAACAAGAGGCATCATCTTAAAATTAAAGCCAGGCCATTTATGGATGAAATCAGGAGGTGTTTTTTCAACAACAACAACAACTTGGATTTATATAGCGGCCTCCACGCCAGATGGTGTCTCAGAGGTTCACGGTAACGGATCCCGGGGCCGAACCGGGGGGGAGGGGCCAGTGGGAGCGGGAGGAGCCAGGGTGAGGGGGGGAGCCAGGGGGAGGGGGGGAGCCAGGGGCAGGGTGCGGGGTGGGGGGGAAGGTGACCAAAGGTGCGGTTGAAAAGAAAGGTCTACAGCAGAGACCTGGAAATAGGAAGAAAGGGGACGAGGGGAAGGGAGTGAGGAAGGGAGTTCCAGAGCCTCGGGGCGTAATGGCTGAAGGCACAGCCGCCGAGGGGGGAGCAGAGGACTTGGGGGACATGGAAGAGGCCAGACCCGGAGGAAAGTAGGCAATGGGTACTGTTGTGAGGCGAGAGGAGGTCAGAGAGGTCGGGGGGTGCAGAGGAGTGGAGGGATTTGAAGACAAGAGTGAGGATCTTGAAGTCCAGTCTGGCCAGGACTGGGGTGATCAGAGAGCGGAGTTTGGGGGTGGGGGGAGGACCAGGACTGGGGTGATCAGGGAGCGGAGTTTGGGGGTGGGGGGGAGGTGCAGGATTGGGGTGATCAGGGAGCGGAGTTTGGGGGTGGGGGAGGGCCAGGACTGGGGTGGTCAGAGAGCGGAGTTTGGGGTGGGGGGAGGTGCAGGACTGGGGTGATCAGGGAGCGGAGTTTGGGGGTGGGGGGAGGGCCAGGACTGGGGTGGTCAGAGAGCGGAGTTTGGGGTGGGGGGAGGGCCAGGACTGGGGGATCAGGGAGCGGAGTTTGGTGCGGGTGAGAATGTGGGCGGCAGAGTTTTGTATAATCTGGATTGTATGGATGGCAGTGGAGGGGAGGCCGGCGAGGAGGGTGTTGGAGTAGTGCAGCCGAGAGGTGACAAAGGCCTGGACCAGAGTCGTGGAAATCTGGAATTCTTTCCCCCAAAATGCTGTGGATTCTGGATCAATTTTCAAGCCTGAGGTGGATAGATTATCGTTAGATCAGGGTATTCAAGGAATATGGAGCAAAGATGGGTAATTGGAGTTGAGGTTCAAGTCAGCCATGATCTTATAGAATGGCGGAACAGGCTTGAGGGGCTGAATGGCCTCCTGTTCCTATGCTCTGTTTATTCCGCCAGCACAATAATGGTCTGTGTTCATCCATTGTGAGTCACTCTCCTGTTCCCTTACTTAGGGTTAGGGACAAAAAAAGATGCAGCAAATCTCTTAACGGTTTCTTTATCTATAAGCCTCTACTTATCCAGCAGTAAATAGGAACTGGATTGTTAGTCGATTTGCAGATTGTTTTCTGGGGATAATAATCCCTTCAAAGTATAAATAAATAATAATTTGGTCACTCAATCCACAACTGTTTGTGGGATGTTACTGTGCACAATCGGCTTTGTCGTTTCGCCCACCAAATGCACAGTCACTCCACTTTACAGTATATCATGTGAAGCACTTGATAAGTGATAAGGCGCTATATCAAATGCAAGGTTTACTAATGGTGAATTCAGCCTTAATTTTGACGGCAGATTTCTGTTCTTAGAAGAACTTACCCAAACCAGTTTAACAACTTGAGGCTGTATTTAAGAAGTGGCCAAATTCTGTGCCCCCAAAATGCTGTGTACAATAAATCTAAACCGGGCGGAATTTCTCCCCGTGAATCGGTTGGGTGCAGTGCCCACGGCGATGGGTGGTTTAGTTTGGCGACTGAGATTGCCCATCGGGTCCTTGGCCCAGAAAGTAAGGCTGTCACCAGAGGTGAAAAGTGGGGCTAATGGTTATGTAGGACAGTGATGCTGAATCCTGGCCCCACTGCACCAGCAATCGGACAAAACCTAGAAACAGGAGGAGGCCATTCAGCCCCTCGAGCCTGTTTGGTCATTCTCTATGAGATCGTGGATGATCTGTACCTCAACTCCAATTACCCGCCTTTGCCCCGTATCCCTTGATCCCGACCTCACAAACATCTCCCACCTCAGTGTTGAAAATGTGAATGGATCCACAGCCATAATCCACAGCGTTATTGTGGGAGAGAGTTCCAGATTCCCACTACCGTTTGTGTGACAAACTGCTTCCTGTTTCCACTCCTAAATGGCCGGACTCTAATCTTAAGATGATGGGTCTGGTTCTGGATTCCCCACCGGAGGAAATAGTGTCTCTGTAGCTGCTCTATCAAACCCCTTTATCATTTTAAACACCTCAATCAGATCAGCCTCAAACCTAAACTCTATAGACAATATAGACCAAGTTTATGCCACCTGTGCTCGTAATTTAACTCTTTAAGTCCTGGTCTCATTAAACAGAAGGTATCAAACCTAGCTTCTATTCACAACTATAAAGAGGACAAGTCCACCTCCAGCTGTTTTATTCAGAAACTTCTGTAAAGTATTATTATTATAAAATTCTGAGGTGTGGCAGTGATGATGAATTAATTGTCTGTGGAGTGAATGTCTAACCCGCTTTCTTTCTGTCTAATTAGATGTCTGACTGTGGAGGGCTGCCACAGGTGGTTCAGGTACGTTTACAACCAGTGGTTAGAGCACTCGCTTTGCAAGTGAGAGACCTGAGTTCAATTCCAGGCAGAGGGCGAAACCTTGGGCAAGTTTCCTTACTCCACACAGAGCCTAATAATAATCCCTCCAAAACAATAATAAATTGGTCATTTTCAATCTATGACTGTTTGTGGGACATTGCTGTGCGCAATTGGTCAATTCACTTTACAGTGTGTTCTGTGAAGTGCTTTGGGACGTCCTCCCGACGTGAAAAGCGCTATATCAAATGCCAGGATTATGTGATATTCAGTTTCTAAAGCACCGCATAGAGTCTGACCTTGTCTTGGGCTAAATATAACTGCATCTTTCCTTTCTCATCGCTCCCCTTTTTAATTGTATTGGCTGTAAATTGGCACAGTGGAGTCCTGAGGCGTATTGGTTAGAGCACTCGCCTCGCGAGCGGGAGAATACATTGGAATATATTAGAATATACAGCACAGAAACAGGCCACTCGGCCCAACTGGTCTATGACGGTGTTTATGCTCCACATGAGCCTTCTCCTGCCCTTCCTCAACTAAGCCTTCAAGCATAACCTTCTAGGACCCGGGTTCGATTCCCGGGCAGGGCAGCTTTCTTTACTCCACACACCTCTGGATATCTTGCAGTAAGTAGCAACCCGGTTGCTTGTTGTTCGGCAGATTGTTTTCGGGGAATAATAATCTCTCCAAAAATAATAATAGTAGTTTGGTCACTCGATCCACCACTGTGTGAGAGACACTGCTGGTGTATTTGGCTGCCTCGTTTCACCCACAAGATACACAATTCACTTTACGATCTATCATGTGAAGCGCTTTGAGACATCTTAAGAATGTGATAAGGGACTATATCAAATGCAAAGATTATTACCTTCAGTTTCTGTTTTTATAACATTGGTTAAAGCCACTCTCTATGTTTATTTTATTAAAAAAAAAGCTAATTGAAACAGTGTGGTCCGAAAGTTCTCATTGTTTTGTGTGGGGGGTGAGGGGAAGAGAAGATAAACTTTTGATAAATTTAGGTTATGATGTCTCTTGCAGCCGGCAAAGCTTACAGAGGCCTTCAAGTACTTTGTCCAAGGCATGGGCCACAGTAAGTAGATACATTCTTCATTGCTGAGAGGAGAGGACAAGGCGGGTGGAGAGAGGAAGAGTGTTCCAGGGCATTGTGGCTGAAAGCGAGGCTGCCAGTGGTGGAGCGGAGAACACAAGGGACGTGCAGAAAGCCGGGGGCAGTGGGTAGTGGGTTGGGAATTAAGTAGGTAGGGAGGTGCCAGGGCGTGAAGGAATTTGTAGACAAGTGTGAGGATCTTGAAGTTGATGGTGATACGGAGCCAGTGGAGCTGACGAGGATTGGGGTGATGGGGGATGGAGTTTAGAGCGGGTGAGTGTGCGGGCGGTGGAGTTTTGGATGAAGTGTACCTTGTGGAGCTGGGAATAGCAAGCAGGTCATCAATGACTGACACCTTGTGCTCTGCAGTGCCTGGAGCCAGCATGACTCGCCTCATGCGATCCCGCACTGGCTCCGCCTCAAGCTACACCTCCATTGATTCTAACCGGAGCCGTGCTCACACCGGGGAGGGGAACCGCAGCCGTGCTCACACCCTGGAGAACACCAACATGAGCCAGGCCGCCATGGAGTCACCACTCAGCTCGTCCCCTCGCTCGGCCACCATGGAACATTCTGGACCACAGTCGGCGGAGGTTTCCTGTTGAAGCCCCCTCTCCTCCCGCCCCCCCCCCCCCCCCCCCCCGCTCCCTCCCTCGACTGCCCAAAGTGAAATCTCTCGTTACCCTTAAGGCATTGCTGCCCGGCTCATTGGCACTGCCACACGCATCGCTAACTATATGCAAAGCAGTGCGTGTGCATCGCTGTGGTTGTAAGGTTTGTGCATAGACTGTTCTGTTTCTACTCCCCTGCGGTTTAGACCTGACTCATGTCACGACTGAATGTAGTAATGGGTCACCCAAAGATTCAATGTCAAAGTAACTTACGTCCCAAAGCAAACCACTCTTGCACCTTTGTTGGGGGAGGGAAGCAATGCCTTACGGGTAACAAAAGTTTGACAAACGTTAGAAGTCTGCGTGCGCTCTCTCTGTCAGAGCCCCTGTGAAGCTGAAGTTAAATCTTTAGAAAGATGTACAGTCCTTGATTTTCCTCAACCCCCCCCCCCCCACCTTCCAAATGATAGATTTCCGTTGAATCAATTTTGTTGCAAACTTTTAGTCCACCGTTAATTAATAGCAGGTTTCCCTGTTTCCCTGCATTTCCGCACTCGTTACATTAGCTGTTTTTTTAAAACTAAAATCTTGAAGAGCGAGACTAAAAGGCAGAGCTGTAGTCTTTAAAGCACATGTGAAAAATCTTGGTTTTTGAATGTGTCAGCGTTTAATTAGCTTGGGCTGAGTGGCAGGGCAAGATTTTGATGTTAACTTTCTGATAGATTTGGTTTCCCTTCTTGGCCTTGAGGTATACCATTCCAAGGCCTGTGTTTCCCATTGTTGTGCTTAACAAAACGGTTTGTATTTCTTGAAATGTTAATTTGTTTATTTGCTGAATAACCAGCCACAATCTCTAACGGCTATTATCGAAATCTCACCTTTTGAGGCTTTGTGACTTTTTGGGCTGCAAAAAAAGTTTGTCTGCAAAAGAAAAAAAATCTCTTACATCTTCTGCACTGCAGCAAAGAGAGAGCCGAGGGTTCAAACCACACCGCGTCTGTGTTGCTATTGTCTTTCCTGCCCACTGCTGTGTGGGTGGACAGGGCTAGGAATGTGTATGTGGTGGGGAAGGAAAGTGAGCACCTGTCTTGAAGAAGCCTCCACTTTAGTGCATGAACTTGCCGTGTGAGTCAACCCATTTTTCTGATCTTGAATAGCATGAAGGATTAAAGCAAATGGGTTCAGTTTACAGAGTCTCTGCGAAAGACCAGAGAAAACCAACAGGAGGCTATAAACACGCTCTCCAAATGGACCTAAAATCCTACCTAACTCCTTCAAAGGTGTACATCAAGTCAACATTACATTTGGGGCTGTCTCTGTTCTTTATAACAGGCTTCTCATCTCCTCCAGCACAATGGAGCCAGAACTTAATTGAGGTTTCGTTAGAGCATCATTATTCACCTCATACACCGACCTACCCACCGGCGAGCCTCTCTTTGCTGGGGTTGGGGGAGCGAGAGCGAGGAAGAGAGGAAGTAGGGCTTCCATACGGTTTCTGCAACATTACAAAAAAGGCCATTTCTACTCAGCAATAGTAAAACATGATCTTTAATTTAAAGGCAAGTGTTTGCAGAGTGTGGGGGAGATAGTGTATTGAACCACAAAAGGCTATGTAAACAGGCTATAAGAAGGGTCTGCCAGTGTATTAATGACTCTCCGCAGCTTTAGAGGTGCAGTGATTTTAGGTTAGTCTGGCCTGCCCTTTTATTGAATGAGCAGATTACTTTCCTGATTGATTTTCTCACCAGCATTGGTGGGTGTGATTTCCGACAATCTGTTTAAATTGACCACGGTGTGTTCTGTTCCCTACGAAAGGGGCGAGGTGTGTGGGGACAGGACTGAATGAACAACTACGGTGGTGAGGTGAGCACTTGCTCACTTTAATGTAGGAAAGAATTTTTTTTGGGGAAAAAGATTGTTCTCAATGACATATACATTTATATTTATTTGAAAAATAAATTTTAAAACTTTGCCAAAAAAAACATTGTGTGTATCCGTGTTTTCTGTCCAGACCTTCACTGTTTTATGGTTATTTCCTCATCACCTGCGCTTATCAGATGTCAAATGACCCAACAGGTGGAGGGAGTCCTGTAGCATGTTAGTTCGAGAGGACCTGGGTGGGTAATCGCAGGAACCCGATTGTTAGTCGATTAGTGGATCACTTTCCAGGGGCAATAATCCCTTCAAAAAATAAATAATAATTTGGTCACTCAATCCATGACTGTCTGTGGGGACACACTTCTGTGTGTAAATGGCTGCTGTGTTTCACCCACAAAATATAGTCAATTCATTTCACAGTAGATTCTGTGAAGCTCTTTGCAACGTCTCAACAACAAATAAATATATAAATACAATATAAAGTGCAAGAATTATTATTATTAACAGCCACAAGATCCCCGCAACTATCGGGAAACTGAAGAATTCAAGCGTGTGAATGCAACTGACTTTCTGATGGAACAAACGAATGAATATCGGCCGAAACTATGCAGCTGAGCAAAGCAAGTGGATCCTCAAGTGAGTTTGTGTGGAATTTAGTTTGCTTTAAGGGTGCAAACAATCTTCCTAAAATGGGAAAATTAACAGATTCCACGTTGGGAAGTGGAATCACACAGTCTAAGATGACACTCCAATGTAGCGCTGTGGGGATGTGTTGCATTGTCTGAGGTGCCATCCTTCGAATGAGACGTTAAACTGAGGTCTCGTCTGTCTGTTCAGGTAGACTTCAAAGATCCCGCGACGCTATTCAAAAAGGAGAAGGGACATTCTCTTATTTCTCCTGGTGTCCTGGCCAAATTGGTTGTTTGTTGGACATTGCTTTGGGCAATTGTGCTGCTCGGTAAACAGTTGTGTGGAGTAAGAAGTAAGGAAATTTACTCAGGTTTAGCCGTGTCTGGGAATCAAACCCAGGTCCTCTCACTTGCGAATTGACTGCGCTATTCAATGCATTGCCGGACCCCCAGCGGCTCAGACACTTTCAATAACTGATCAAAATCAAAATAATAATAATCAACACTTAAGTCATTTTTGAATTGCACCTTTAATATGATGATTCATAATTGGAATTAAATAGACTTTCTTTCTTATAGCATTCCTTTACATTATACATTATAGCAATGTGTCTCTGACAAAACAATAATACACTTAGTTTTTTCTTCTACTCTGTGACACCCGGCGTGCAATGTGTTCACTGCTGAGGCTTTGAGAAGGTAATTGGGGGTGAAGGAATGTTGTGATATCAAGTCTCCATTTATCAACAACTCACATCTGGTGATCTTTATTTTGGCATTTACTTTTCTGCAATAGCTTTGCTATGTGTGAGGGGCCAGACCCAGAACTCAAACTGGAGAGAGAACAGCACCATTGTAACACCGGGATGGGGTCTGTGTGTGTGAGAGAAAAAGTGTGAGAGGGAGTGTGAGTGTGTGCAAGAGAGGGGATGTGAGTGTGTGTGTCTGTGTGTGTGTGGACTGTACGGCAGCCTGGACCAGGAGGCTCGAACCCACAACCTTCTGACCCAGATGTGAGAGCACGAGCGACAGCCAGGAAGATCCTGGCTACTGATTCTGTGCACAGAGCAGTGTCTATACTCAACCACACAGAAGAGCATTGACAGCCACACACACACTGAACAGGAGTAAAATATACAGCAACGAAGCAAGGCATCCAGATAATAAAGGTGAGAAATGGGGACTCAATACAGCTCTTATTTCAGAAAGATTCTATATACTGTACAAAACAATAATATATATATATCTTATTTTAATCTTCCATTTGGGGCGTGTTCCCTGATATCGCAGTTACAGACTCCACGTGAGTCGCCGAGTCTCCTGCTCCTTCCCCCAAACTCCTCGTCCTTAACATCCCTCCTTCAAACATCTAATTCCCTTTTAAAATAATTCATAAGAATTTGCCGGCGAAAGAAGACCGAGGTTCATTCAGTTTTGCCTTCCACCATCCTGGCAGTCACTTGACAGGCAGTGTCCCAAACTATACACCGTCTCCCCAGATATTATTTCCTAACAGAAATCTATCTCATTTGTTCTTGAAAGAATCAACACTTTCTGCTTCCACCGTCTCCCGAGGGAGTCTGTTCCATACGTTTACTAACTCGCTCACTGAAGTAGTGTTTCCGCAGATTTCTTCTGAATTTACCCCCGTCAATCGCAGGCCGTGGCTCTGTTCAAGATAGAACAGCTGATCATGGTCTACTTTATATATTCCATTCAGAATCTTAAAGCCCGTAATCATATCATCCCTCACCCTCCCACTCAGCTCCCACCCCCAGCTCAGATACCCAGTAAGTGCTTTGATGTCCGCCCGACGTGAAAGAAACTCTGAACTCTATCCCGCAATCCCTCTGGCTCATCCCCTCTCTTGCTTCCTTCAAGTCCCGTCTAAAGACCTTACTCTTCGCCCGCGCCTTTGGCCACCACCCCACCCACCCCCCAGCCGCCCCACTTCACCCACCCCGCCCTCTGCCCCCCCTGACCCCAACTCCCAGCTCGGGCCCAAAAGCCCTGATTATTCAGTGTCCTGGGGATGTCTTTCTGATGTGAAGGGAAGGAGTTAGATAAGTGTAATTTGCTACAGAAATAGAGAGATCTGGGAACGCTCAGCGGGTCAGGCAGCATTTATGGAGAGAGGAAAGTGAGTCAACGTTTCAGGTCCACGACCCTTTGTCAGGACTCGCCAGTTCTGACGAAGGGTCGTGGACCCGAAGCATTGACTCACTTTCCTCTCTCCATAGATGCTGCCTGACCCGCTGAGCGTCCCCAGATCTCTCTGTTTTTGTTTCAGATTCCAGCCTCTGCAGTATTTTCTGTTTTGTTCAAGTGTAATTTGCTGTTGTCTTCAGGTGGGATTTAAAGGAGGATAAAGGGGTCGGGGAGTTCCAGAGATCAGGGGCACAGTGGCTGAAGGCACGGCCAATGATGGTGGGATTGAGGGGTCAAGGGACAAGCAGTCTCCAGTTGTATTAGCCGAGCGAGAGGGGGGGGGGGATCGGACGAGTGGGGTTGGGGCG